TATTATTTTAGCGTGGGGATTTTTCATTAATATTGAGAGGAAGGAACTTAAAATCGGAATGATATAAAAGTTTTTTAAAGTATATCAAATGATTGCATTATGGGGAGGAAGTAAAATTGCACGTTTGAATTCCCATTTATATGATATTGTTCAGAATTAAAAACTGATTTGACGCAGCAAACATTTTTTAGAATAATAATTAATTAATAATCGATATTTAGGGTAATTTGCCAACCGTAATTGGTATTTACTATTCAGAAAATTAGTGAATTATACAGTGTTTAATTATGTGATTTGAATTTAAAGTCAGCTTTTCCTCGATGGGTTTGTGAGAGTTGTTAATTGTTTGAGAAAAAACAATATCCTGCTCGTTTTGGCTGCGGGCTGCAGCCATAATTCATGAGCTGTGAAATCATTTTGACAAGAAATTATTACAAAAATCAGTTTTGTTAACGCAAAAGTTTTACTTTGAAAGAAAATAATATTTTAAAGAAATTAATTTTTTTACTAATTCTGTCAAAATGATTTCACGACAGCTCATGAATTATGGCTGCAGCCCGCAGTCGAATCGTGTAGAGCAGGATATTGTTTTTCTGAAACAATAATCAACTCAAAGAAACAATTCGAGGAAAAGCTGACTTAAAATTCAAATCACCATTTGAAGCAACCCTCGATCATGAAATTCTACTACAAAAGTATTTAGTTGTTTATTTATTTGATTAAAAATGAAATCGACTTTTGCATAATTGATTTGATTGTGAAGTTATAGAAATTATGAAAGAAATTAAACCGGATTGTCCTTGTTGGAAATTATAAATATGGAAAGCGCAAAAGAAACGTTTAAATTAGGTTTAGGTTTTCCAAATTTACAAGTAAAATCAACAATAAAACAGCATAGTATACCTGAAAATGACAACATTTTAATACGAAATATCATAAAACCGCGTCATGATAAGGAATTAATTTAATGGTTTTGAATTAAATAAATTTTCATTTCGCCTATATTTCTCTGATTGATATTCAGTCTGAAATTTTTGAATTCATATGAATCTATGAATTTTTATAGCAGTTTATGAGAAAAATCCGTGAAAAAGCTCTTAATAATCTCTCATATATTTTGATATATATTATTTTTAAATGTTTTAATATTTCCGATGATTCAAAAATGATTTATAGTTTAGTTACTGCAAAATTTTCAACCTCATTTTTCAATTTTAAAGCCAAATCTGAAAAGTCCAAATATTTTGCTCAAATAATCCGCTTTGCTTGTTGAAACTTGCAATTATAATCACAGTCGCGTGAGTAAAATCGCTTTCAAAACTCCCAATTTACAAAACTCAAAACAAGGTATTTTATTACAATACATCATTTTAACAAAATACAAAACCATAAAATTTCACACAGCACATGAATTATGCACAAATGCGCACAGTTTGATTTTACTGTAGAGACAAAATCTACTGCTCGAAATTCGCCGCATTTGCACGCATAAAAGAGTCTCTTTTGTAAATGGGAGAGTGTGGAACAAAAAGCTGTTAAATAGTTCCTATAAATTGTGAGAGCTCATCCAGCAGTACAGCAGAGCGCCCACGGAGACAATCAATAAAAAGTAGTCTGTGCGAGTTGCAAGAAAAACGCGCCCGGCGCATTGAACTCGTAAGCCGCGCACGAATTCTTGCATGTGCTCTATCTCGCGCGCGTCCACTTTCCGGCTTCGTTTATTTTTTCTAATCGCTTTTCCGCAATTTGCCGCTCACCCAAACAAACATTTGACAGAGGCGTCCAATTCGATTATATGTTTGTGCAAATAATGCAGCTTTATAGTCGATGATTCACTGCAACAAACAAAAAGCGTCAGTTTGACGCTTCCGAAAACAATGGGTGACTCTTCGGTGTGTATTGGAAAAATCACATAAATATGAATGGGATCAGAGTGGTGTGTTGCGGTATGTCTATATATAGGCGCGCGCAAAGTTGCGCTTTTGAACTTTTCATGGTCCAATAAAAAAAAGCTCGTTTTTTTTGTTCACAAATGCTGCGGAGAGAGAGGAGATCTCTCGACACGGCCGCTTTAGGGCGAATTTATAAAAATTGAAATGAAATAACTCGTTCTTCTTTTCTGTTGTTCGAGTTTTGCGGGAAAAGCTTTTTAAATAACTTGTAAAATTTTTTTAATTAATAATTGAATGAATGAGCTTTATTAAAAACCATAGGTTTACCACAACGTACAGAAATTTAATTTATAATTAAAACGCTAAATATATTCCTTTTGGAAATATAAAAATCTGTAATAAATTGAAGAGACAATTTGGACAAATAAACAACAATTAAAAAGGTAGAATTAAATGAAGTCGTATCTTTGTTATGAACATTAAATGGCAAAATTTTAATCATTATATTTTTTTATATACAAAATGCTCCGAATTTCTAAAAATAAAAAAAATTCAATAAATATCTTTTAACCCAGGCAACTTTTATGTTTGCTCAAACAACTAAAATCCTCTCAATTTTTGCAATTTTTATTTCAAATTTTATTTTCTAAGATCCTATTTGGAGCAGTTTTTTCATTAAAATGTTTTTTCAAGGTTCAGAGAACTCGCTTAAAAAGCTTAAAAATCGTGCAATATTGTTAAAATTAATTTTATTACCATTTAAAAATGTAGCAAAGTATTTCTATAGGAAAGCAACAAATTGAAAAAAGGAAAAAACGAATGTACAGTTTATTTATTTAGATAAATATTTTGATAATTTTTATTATACTTCAGAAAATTTTTCTAGATATCATTGATATATCTAAAATAAAAAAAATGTCACCTAATATTGAGGATTTTTATTTCTTTGGTTTTCTTTTAATATCAGCCCAACAAAATCGGCAAATAACATCGAATCAAGTTCATAATATTCATAATATTCACTCTAATTTTGCACAAAATTGAATCTATTGACAGATTGACCACAAAATGTGCAAAAAACGTTTTGGGCTAAACCACAAGCTCAATGGTATAAAAAGAAAATCGAATTAATTTTTCTTTTTAGCTCTGTCTTTTGTTCGCAACACGACAGCCGAGTTAAAGGGCGAATCCGCCAAAAGAAAGCCGATTCGGAAGCGGCGCACAAACAAGCGCCGGCGGAGAATTTGATTTAGCGCGTGAACTCGTGACCTCCGTCTGCCAGCAATATCATCTCGGCTGGCCTATTTACTCCGAAGAAGAAACTTTGTTTCAAGGGTAGCGAGAGCAGCCGCCACCACTTTACTTATCCGAGGAACATGTTGGCGATTGTTTTGTCTCTGGCAAGGCCTTTGACCTCCGACCCGACTCTGTTTGCGGAATGAGAAGAATTATTTATTTTATTATTCTCGCAACTTTGAATGGCCGCTCTTTTCTCTCTCTCTCACTCCGGCTGGACGTGCTGGTGGTTGATGAGGGTTTACACTCTCGGGGTGTTATTGATTTTTAGTTCGCGTCCTGCCTGCCTAACTGCGAACCAATCGCAGCCGCTCTCTTTTTCCAAAGTCGAGAGCTGCTGCGCCCGCTCTTGCTTGCCAGCCAGAGCTCGCCTCATTTCGGCTGACCGATCGTCGGCCCACGGATTTTTCGGCACTCGACGCCGCCGCCGCTGCCATGGAAACACGTATGTGCGTTCATCCGCACTCTCAATTTTGTTTGCTCGCCAACGTTCAATTTCGGGCCGAATGCGCCAAAGTTGCGCAGCAACTTCCCTCTCGACCTCAAGCCAAAGCAGCTTATTAATTTCAATAGCTGGCAGAGATTTAAGCGGTTTGCCGTGTCGGCTGCTATGGTGATTAGCACGCCCAAAACGACTTGGTGGAAAACTCGGAAAGGGCGACTTCATTATTTTTCCTTTTTTTTTAACGTAAAAATTTGTAAAACTATTATTTGTGCTCCCCTTAAATAAGCAGCAAAGGAATTTTACTTTTTTTAAGGCATCTGAAGTAAAAAAATAGGAAAAAATGTTGAAAATTATTATTTTACTTTATTTTTATTATTTTTATTTATGAACATTAAAAACAAAACTATTTCTGATTCATTGTAATATTTAATTGCAAAACCCAACGTTTACATCCTCTTTGCCACTTTTTGTGTTAGCAAACAATGATTTTATGAAAAATGAAAACATTCAACTTTGTAAAAATAATTTTTCTAAATTTGCAACACGATCTTTTGTAGACATTTGTAAAATTGAATGATTTTTTGATGGATTGAAAATCTAATTTTAATTTTCAGCCAATATAATCTTAAATTAATAAGAGCAGCAAGACGTATCATAAACTGATGGTATAAATTAATAACCATCAGTTTTCTCCATGAATTGATGCAAATTCTAAATGGATTTTTGTTTAAAAAAGCTTAAATTATTTGTAGAACATGAAACTCCATCTTCAGTTAAAAATAATTCATTCTTTTTAATGAAAAAACTCTGAAGTTTTTCTATTATAAATTATATCAACATAGATATTGATTTAAAAAATATTCAAACTATAAATGCCAAAGAAATTCGGACAAATCTGAGAAAAAGTTTTTCATGGACTAGAAAACACTTCATATGTATGAAAAAAAAAGAATAGAAAAGAAAAGTTTTCATTAAAGTTTCAGTTTAGTTTAAGTTTTTAATTCGGGTCTCTACTTAAAACATTTCCACGGAATTAAAGACACAAAAATTAGGAAAAAAATTTGAAAAACATGGGAAACAATTTATAAATAAGTAAATCCGGCAAATCGTTGACTTTTTTGAGAATCAGATTAAAAAAATTACTGCTTAGAAACCGTCGTTCCAATTATCTTTACTACAAAGTAGTGCAAAATCTCGAATAACCGCCCGACGTGTCCCTTTCCCTGGCATCTGATTACTTTTTGCCCTCGCCGCGGCCGAACGAAATCTTCTTGGGTTTCGTGCGGCGCGCACGGCGAGGAATTTGGGGCCGGCGTGTGTTTTCGGCAGGCATCGATTTACTCACGGCGTGTGCTTGTGTGTTGCAGGTCGGCCTACCGTGATACCTCGATGAAACAAGAGCCACACGACGATGGTTACGAAACGAGCGGAGATTTGGAAATTAGAGCTCAGGGTGACGGCCAGAAGCTGTACAACGCAATGCAGGCATCGCTCAATATCAAGCAAGAACCCACACACGATCCCTACAGCTTTGTGGACGAGGAGGTGGCGGCGGCTTCGCAGAACCGCGGCCCACCCGTCCCCGGCCTGCCCGTGCCCATGCCCAAAAAGCGCGGACGCAAGAAAAAGCTCAAGCCCGGAGAGGAAGGGTCAGTATCACAAAATTTCACCCTTCGAATGTATTTTTGAACAAAATGTCCCGCAGAATGACTGAGGAAGAAGAACCGGCGTTGAAGAAGAAAATCAAGGAAGAAAAGACTGTGAAGGAGCGCAAAAAGCATGACAGATTTAACGGCATGCCCGAGGAAGAAGTCTCAAAACGAACCCTGCCTGACCATCTAACTGAAAATTTGGATATTATTATTGTAAGTAAAGGATAAAATGACAAAGAAACTTAATAAAGAAAAACGTATTATTTTTTTATTTTTTTTATAAAACTGAAACTAATTTTAATCTTGAAACTTTCAGATTGGGATCAATCCAGGCCTTTTTGCGGCCTACAAAGGTCATCACTACGCAGGCCCTGGAAACCACTTTTGTAAGAGTTTGATTTTCCTTTCTTTTCAAGACTATAACGCTCGCTCGGTTTTGCAATGGTTGCAGGGAAGTGCTTGTACCTGTCAGGTCTGACGCCGGAGCCCATGACGTCCGACGATGACTACAAACTGATGCAATACGGCGTCGGCTTCACAAACATGGTGGCCAGAGCGACCAAGGGCAGCGCCGACTTGACCAGAAAGGAGATCAAGGAGGGATGCCAAATTCTGCTCGAGAAGGTCAAAAAGTACAAACCCAAGATCGCCGTGTTCAACGGGAAATTGATCTACGAGGTTTTCTCCGGCAAGAAAGACTTTCCTTTCGGCAGACAGGCCGAATTTGTGGAGGGCACAAGTACCGTAAGTATTAGAGTTTTTATTCATAAATAAAAATTAAAACAAAAATGTGATAAAAAAAAGATACTAAAAATGAGAGTCTGGAAATATATTTGAATTTAAACTATCAACCTAATATAAATTTGCAAAATTCCACATTTGGGATTCAGATTAACTGAATAATAATTTATTGATTTTTGTTTAAATTTTAAATTATAAAATTATATGAAATTTTTGAATTACATTTAAACATAAAAAACTTTTTATCTCTAAAGAAAAATGATATTTTTAACGCATTTTTGTTGCGACTTTTTTTTAATTTCATTCTTAAATTCAGCACAGCTGAATATCCAGATTTTTTTTTAATATTTAGGTTGCATCAAAATTTTCTCTATTAAATATCCAATATTAAGACAACCTTGTGATTACTTAAAAAATTAATTTTGTCAGTTACAAAGAAGCTGATTTAACAACTTTTGATAAATGTTTCAGTACATGTGGGTGATGCCATCGTCCAGTGCCCGATGTGCTCAATTACCACGCGCGGCGGACAAAGTGCCGTTCTACGCAGCGCTCAAGAAGTTCCGCGACTACCTCAACGGCATCATCTCCGAGCTGGACGACAGCGAAGTGGTGTTCAACGACCCCAAGTTGCGGAACATCACCGAGAACGGCGAGACCAAGGAGGACTGCAAAGAAGGCTTCCAGGGGTATGGACGACTGCCCAACAACGGCGACCTCACCGACCTGAGCAACGCCAAAAAGGGCGAGGGGGGAGAGGTGGTCAAGAAGAAGCGCGGCCGGCCCAAGAAGATAAAGGGTGAGGACGGGGCTGAGGCGCCGCCCCCAAAACCGCGGCCACCGAAGCCACCGGCCTCCTCTGTGAATGGGGACACGCCGAAAAAGAAACGGGGCCGGCCCAAGAAGGTCAAAGACGGTGAACAAGTGGCGCCGCCACCACCCCAGCAACAACCCCCACAGCAGATGCAGCAGCACAACGGAATGGTAGTGCCTATGAACAACTGCTTCTCGCCGCCCCCGAACACCTTCCACCCGAACCAGTTCAACCAGTACAATCAGCCGCAAAACATGTACCAGCAGCAGCAGCAGCCGCAGCAGCAGCAGCACTCGCCCAACTCTGCTCAATACCAGCACCAGTCGCCACCCCTTGCTCACCGCTACAACAGTCAATCACCGCGTCCCAGCTCGCAGCAGCCCTTCACCCACTCGGACCTCTCCTCCGAGATCAGCGCCGCCATCAGCTCGGAGCACAATCTCGGCTCCCCGCCGCCCACGTCCCCCAGTCTTGGCCCGCCGGACTTTGAGCCGCCTACTAGTATGCCTGAGGAAAACAAGGAGGTGAGAAAACAAATCATAGAAAAGCTATGACTAAATTTATTCAGAAATATTGAATTTTTTCATCTCAAATAAGTCTAGCTGAAGGAAATTAAATCTTCAAAGCTATTCATGAGATGGTTTGAAGCATTTCTAGTAAATCAACTGTCTGCATTTTCATCTGCAAAATTTAAAGTTAATGAAACTCAGTTCTGGTTGCCCAAAGACAGGTTTTGACCTATATATTGGAAACAAATTGTTGTGGAAATTTGCCATAAATTTAAAATTAAAATAATTTTTAACACATAGGTCAATTCAAACCAGGAAAGTCAGGTTTTTTGTGATCAATTTTGACCCCATATTTGGTTTACATAGAGTTAACAATTTAAAAAGTTTCTCCAAATTCTTGTTACTGAACTTTTTAAGTTTTTTCTCACAGTTTCAGTAAAACCTCTAAAAAATTTAAAATCACGTTCGAATATACATGAAAATTAGAAAAAATAATTACAATTTCAACGTTTTTTTTTACAGGTGACAGAAGCGCCAGGGGTGAACACAGTGCCCTTCTCGAGTCCGACGCCGCCGTCGTCCAACTCGGCCTCGCAGGACCTGCAGACGCAACTTCCTCAGCAACAACAAGGGCAACAGCAGCCGCAACAACAGTACCCTGGACAGTACCCTTGCTCAGGGGTGGTGAACACGCCAGCGTCAACGCCACAGGACGTGGCGTCCAAGAGTCTTTCGGGCCTCGAGTCGCTCGTCGACCAAATTCCGAGCATCACAGACAACCCCAATCCGGACACGCCGTCCTCAGTAGGCGGCGGGGGCGGCGCCTTTGAGCCTGTTGGCGGCTACGACGAGGGTGGCACCCCCTACGCGAGCTACCCCGCGGCCTACCCGGCCTACTCGGCCGCCGCCAGTACAAACTACAACTCGTTCTCGGTGTCGTCGCTGGCCAACAGCAGCGCCGCCTCCGGAGGCGGCTCGACGGCCGCCCCCGACCTGAACTCGCCCTTCTCGGTGTCTAGTCTGGCCTCCAACTACAACCCGCACCACCACCCGGGCGCCAACTCGCAGGGCTACCCCAACCTGATGGGCGGACACATGATGGGCAACCAGGGCATGTTCGGCGCGCCGCCCATGCCCTACCCTTACGGCCAGTACCCGACTGCCGCCTCCGGCTACCCCTACTCGCCGTCGACGATACACATGCCGTCGCCCAACTACCCCTACCCGTACAACAACAACCCCTACCACCACCACCAGCCGCCGGCGTCCGGCTACCTGCAGAACCACATGCTGGACAGGATAAAACAGGACCGCATGGACATCGGCTTTGGTGGATTCTGATAAACGCTCACCAGTGAATTAATTAGTTGAATATAATCCGAATCGCTTAAAGGTCCCCCGTGGCGTTGCTTTTTATTTAAATAAGAATTGAAATAGAAAACATTCCGATCAATTTTTATATTTCAAATTCTGAAAGTTTACAAAATTTTATTTACAAAAACTCAAAACTATTTACTATTAATTCGTCAAATGAAAATTTTAACATCTAGATTGCTTAATCTCTGTACTCTGAGGTCAGATTAAAAAAAATGGAAAAGCCAATTTTATCATTGTAGGAGGGAAATTTTTACCACCATTAAAATGAGCAAACTTTCAAATTCAGAAATAAAAAGTTCATCGGTGTGCGTCTTCTTTGAGAATATTTTTTCGTCTCCAAAATTGAGACAATATTTTAATTTTAATTTTTACCTTTTTGGATTTAAGGAGGAAGATTCCCACGGGCGACCTTTAAACACTCGCTTTTCGTTTCTTATAGTTAGTGTTTAGCTCTCGAGAGTTAGGTGGCTAATTAATTAATTACTACGGAAAATTCACTCACTCTAGAGCATTGTTTGTGCCGCCCTCTCGGCTCGTGTATAATTCTAGACGTGTAAGGCTCTTGATAATTAGCTCCGTTTGAACTCGTAGATGAAAAGCAATTATTATATTGTCATTCACTCACGCGACGAGATTTTTAACGATGTGTAATAATATTATTTTGGATAATCAAACCTTTTGCATTAGTCAAAATTTGTATAAAGATTTTTGTGAATTATTTCACTAACTGGTAAGCCGCGCGTTTCTATATAAGAGTTAATTTTTTGCCGTCTCTCCATCGCTTTCATAATGTGTTGAAAATTGAAAAATACAGGGTATATGTGAGAGTGTTGATCGCGTAATATTTTTATTGAAAACTTGACGTACGGGACACATAATTAATTGCTGTACATATATAACTCGACGTGCGTTCGCGACGATACGATGTGGAAAAAAATATTACCTATACAGTTAGAACTCTACATGCGCATACTTCCAGTTTTTGCCGAAGTTTTAGAACAAGTGCTTGACTGTGGCCGATTGTATGATTGCGGAAAAAAACTAACCAAGTTCGTTGCTAACAATAACGTTGTATAGAGATACGGAAGATCTCACTTTGATTGAATTTAAACAAAAAAAATACGAAGGATGAACTTTTATATTTCTCTTTTTTCTGCGTGTGTTTGTACACTATTTTTTTTTCACTCGTTTTGCAAACTCCGATATACGTAATGAAGCGGACAAAGGTATCTATAAAGCTATGAAATCAAAGCAAAAGTCCACTCCTCGAGACCGATTTCGTTGAAGAATATAATTATGCTTCCCGTTTTTAATCTGGGCGAAAGAGCCGCCGATTCAAAGTGTATAGTGCAATAGGTGAAACACATATGTGATCTAATTAATTTTTATTCTATTTAAGCGAAGAGTGTTTTTATTAATCGGTGTTTTATCACAAGTCTTTTTGCATTTTTCTCAAGAAGTCTCTCTCTCTCTCTCTCTCTCTTGTTGGAAACTGAGTGTTGGAGTTTTTTCAAAGTTCGTTCCGTCGGCGCAGGAAAGAAATTCGTCCACAAGGCGCTAATTATTATACAAACACCGATTTTATTTCCCGCACCGGCGTCAAAACGGGCAGTTCTCGCATCACCGTGGAGATTTTGTTCGAATCTTGCCATCGAGTATTATATTACTTACTTGCAATACCGTCCATAATTTACGCATATATAAAAAAAACTACTACACTTACACTCACTCACACACTGCTGCCATAATTGATAAATATGTACCGATGTTATATTCTCCGGAGGTTTGTTACTATTATGATTATATTGCTGTTCTTTGTCGGTTTTCAGTTTCTGCCACGAGAGTTTTTTTTTTAATTTTTGAAGGATTTGAAAAAGAGTCTCTCAAAATAAAATATATACGTACTCACGATCAGCGCGCGCGTGAATCATTAATTGTTTTGATACTGCCGCAGAATACGGTAAAATTTGCTCCAAAAGATTTTTTAGTATTTTATTATTTATAAAAAATGGAAAAAAAATGTTTCATATGACGCGTTTTAACGTTATTTTGTCTCACTCCGATTTGATACGAAAATTCAGACATTTCGAGCAATCAAATTTACTCCTATTCTGTCGAGCAACGTGAAAAACAAGGACTGATGTACTTATCGTAATGAATACTTACTTGATTGTGTATAATTAATTATTAAATTATGAGGATGTTAAACGATATTACACTAACTGACGCAAAAAGCAGCACGAGTTATTTTTCACTGCGTGTAGACAGAATCTCGCTCGGTACAAAAATCCCCCCAGTTTTCTGCTCGAAACACTCTCACCGGTACGAAGAAGCATGTTGGCGGAAAAGGAATAATCTCTCACTGTGAATCCTCGTTGAATGTTAATAATTACCTTAAGGTTATAGAGATAATCTCACCACGCATCAGAGCTAGTGTATCATAATAAGAGGAATTTGTTCTGTTTCTTCTCCGAGGATGAAATGAAAAGTTGTAACTGAGATTTGTGAATATAAATGGCAAAAAATTTTGAGATAAAAAAAAATATACCTCCGCTGCTGTATTTGCATAGCTAATTAATGATTACGAGAGAAAGGAACGAAATGAACCTCACCTCGGCACATTTTATATTCGATTGATTCAAATTCGTCTCTCGCGAGTCTCCTTCTTCTCTCTCTGTTGTTTGAGAAATAAATCGAGATATATTTCTTCGGACGATAAACTCACTCACTTTGCAACACACATAAACTCACAGACACACCTTGTTGTTTCTCCACAATATTATTACTACGATTATTATCATGTATAAAATTAGGATATAATGCATTAAATTTGTTACATAGGATATTCTATAAACACCCACACACACGCGCGAACACAAAATAAAAAGAATACGACGTATAAATAAAATAAATTTAGCGGATCTACCTGCGAATTGAAATGCGATTTGTGCGATGATTTTTTGCGGATAACACTGGAATAAGTAATTGAATATGTGTTGTGATGGAATATAAATGTGTTCCTAAGTAAAATCAATAAAAAAAGCTGTAAGACAGTTGCAAAAATCTGATCTTTTATTTTTTGAAACCACCTTTGTCATGCAATATTAATATTCAAAACCGTTTTCTAATTTATAGCCTAAAAGAAAAGAAAAATTAATAATTTTATAATGATCCATATTTCTATTGAGTACTGAGCTGTACTTTCAAAAATAAATAAAACCATTATACATCTCTTCAAACAAAAACATTCAAAACAGATAATATATGAAATGAACAATAAGTTTGCAATTTGAATCTTTAGCAGTTAGAGATTTTTCAGGTCGCCTAGCGAAACGTGTAGCAATGGATTTATTAATTTCTTCATAAAAATCCTAAAAATCCATTCGTGCAGCGAAACACGGAAAACCGCGTTAACAGAGACAGTTGCCAAAAAAAGCCCCAAGAAAGATATGGCGCTGATGCAGGCCAACATTTGTAAACAAACACATTCATCAACACACCTGATCAACACACATCAACAAGTCGTTTTATGACGGTTTCACTAGGAAAAGGTAAAAAAAGTCTGTAATATTTCGACTCACCCCCAAATAGTATGGCAGAATGTGAAATTAAGAGGGATAAAGAAAATCAAGGAAGAAAAGACTGCGAAGGAGCGCAAAAAGCAAAAGACAGATTTGACGGCATGTTCGAGGAAGAAAAGTCTCAAAAAATTCTTAAGAACCCGGCTTGAGACCATCTAACTGAAAATTTGGATAATTATTATGAGTAAAGAATAAAATGATGAAGAAACTTATTAATGAAAAATAAACAATGTTTTAATTTTATTTTATAAAACTGAAACTAATTTTCATCTCTTGAAACTTTCAGATTATTGGGATCTATCCAGGCTTGTACCTGTCAGGTCTGACGCCAAAGCCAATGACGTCCGAAGACTTCTACAAACGGCTTCACAAACATGGTGGCCAGAGCGACCAAGGGCAGCGCCGACTTGACCAGAAAGGAGATCAAGGAGGGGTGCCAAATTCTGCTGGAGAAGGTCAAAAAGTACAAACCCAAGATCGCCGTGTTCAACGGGAAATTGATCTACGAGGTTTTCTCCGGCAAGAAAGACTTATTTCCTTTCGGCAGACAGGCCGAATTTGTGGAGGGCACAAGTACCGTAAGTATTAAAGTTTTGATTCATAAATACAAATTATAAAAAAAAAATATGTGATAAAATAGACCCTAAAAATGAGAGTCTGGAAACATATTTTTATTAAAACGAATCTCACCTTAAAGATATCGATAATATTTCCCATTTGAGATTTGGATTTAATTACATTTTTTAATTGATTTTTGATTAAATTTTAAAATATGTACATAATTTTTTTAATTTTATTCTAAAAAAATCACAGCTGAATTTCCAGTAAATCTATATTTATTTTGTTATCTGTTGGTTGCATCAAATTTTCTCAATTATCCAATTTTGGTACAATTTTGTGATTACTTAAATTTTTGTGAAAGGGAAATAAATTTCCTTTATTTTATATAAAACTAAAGTGGTAAAAGGTCGGGAAAATTCATCGCTATGGAGAAAAATGTATATTTCCCCATAAGGCACAGTTTAAATATTTTGTAAATATTATTTTATTTAGTACATAAACATCTAAGAGGATCATTAGAATAAATTTGGTGAAAATTACATTTAATTAGGTCTTAAGGCTTAAGCTACGTGCACATTTTTAATTATTTAATTCTAACATGCAGTTTTATGTCAAAATTTTATGTTAAAAAATTCTAAAAATCAAACAAAATGATGAAATTTATAATATAATTTAAAATAGTATTAAGCAGCGTTCTGAACATGGATGCTGTGTAGGTTACTTCATTGAAACACGTCGTGCAAAAATTGCAGCACTACCCTAGAATAAGGAAAATGTTTTTTTTCCTTAATTCATTTGATGAATGCATTTCTGTAATAACGGCGGCTTTGCTGTGTGCCATTCGAGCTGACGCAGGGTTCAATCGCTGCAGATGCAAAAGTGCATCGCTGACTGGGGAATTTAGCGAGGGCAGTGCGGTTATCTCATCTCTCGGCTGCGCGTTTGCAGGGTCACGGAGATGCGCTAGTGACGTTTTTCGTTGAAAAAAATTGTGTCAAATATCCACAAATATCTAATAATTATAATAAATGTGCCATTTTGATAAGAAAATTTTATGTCACGTAATATTTCCTTTAACAAAAAATTTTGACATCATTAATTATGAAATACTGAAAAACCTGCAAGATGTCTTTATTAACAAATTATTTTATTGCTGTACAAAGAAACTAAGTGTTGATGATGTCACTGATTATGAAATATTTCATTAAACCTAAAATTGATTCGCACTCATAAAGTAAATTGCACAAAAAATTTATTTTTTAGCAGATAATTTATAAGTGTGCGAGTGATATTATTTTTTTATTATTGGCGGGTTTAACACAGCGGTCGAATCTCTTTTGATGTTTTGATGGCGGGCGTTGTATCAGTTGTCGCAAATTGGAAACGATCCTTGTTTAGAAATAACATTTTTTAATATTAAATATGTATCCACCGGCGTAAAAAATACAATATAAAATTGAAAATTACGAGGTAACAAAGCAAGTTTTCTATTTTTTATCTGCATATTATTCCAAATTTTAATTTTTGATCTGAAATACTTAAAAATAAATTATTTTTTTAAATTTACTACGTAAAATGTATTTGAATTTTAATGCGTCTGCAATAAATTGGTATCAAATCTATCGCGGTCACTTTGTGCACACAGATCTTGGATGCTGCGTACTTTGGAATACCAAGTTGCTCAAGGTGCACGCATCAGCAACGAAGATAAAAGATGCACTTGCCTGCATCAGTGCTGATCGCACCAATTTTTTGATATAAAAGCTCCGCCGCGGCCCACAGTAGGCACAACGGGCAGCTTCCCGAGCAACGAAGATGTTCAAGTTCTTCGTTGTCTGTCTGCTGGGTGAGTAAACCTTCCACTTTTTTCTTTTTATTTCAATTCAACAACTTAAAATCCAAAATTGACTGCGGATTAAAATAATTTCAATTTTTGAATAAAATATTTAACAAATTTTAATAAAATTCTATAATTTTTTTGAGCAGTCGGCACGGCCTTGGCCGAAAGTGGTTGGAAGCAGGGCACCGAGTACCGCTACCAGCTCAAGGGCCGCACCCTGTCCGCCCTCCACCAAGTCGACAACCAGTACACTGGCATCCTCCTCAAGGCTATCGTTACCGTCGTCCCCAAGTCCGATGAAGTCCTGAACATCAAGGTCTCTCAGGCCGAGTATGCTCCTCTCCAGACCAAGCTGCCCTTGGGCTGGGCTTCCGAGGTGCCCGAGAATCAGCGCCATTTCAAGAGCTTGCCCATCAGCAGCAAGCCCTTCGAGATCCAGCTGAGGAAGGGTGCTGTCAGCAGCCTGACCATCAGCAAGGACGTGCCCACCTGGGAGGTCAACATCCTCAAGAGCATCGCCAGCCAGTTCCAGGTCGACACTCAGGGCAAGAACCTGATGAAGCAGTACAAGGAACAGCAAGTCAAGGACATGCCCAAGCTGGACCTCCAGCAGACCGTCTACAAGACCATGGAGGACTCCGTCAACGGCGAGTGCGAGACCATGTACGACATCTCCCCCCTGCCTGAGTGGGTCATGCAGTCCAAGCCCGAGCTTGTGCCCATGCCCAACCTCAAGTCCAACGGCGAGATCATCGACATTGTCAAGTCCAAGAACTTCAGCAACTGCGACCAGCGCGTCGGCTACCACTTCGGTCTCACCGGCATCACTGACTGGAAGGAGGCTAGCGAGAACAAGCTTGGAACCTTCCTGGCTGTAAGTTTCATTTAACACCGTTTTAATTTTTGCAAAAGAATTAAATATCAACGTGGATTCAGAAACTGAGCGAGATAGCAAATGCTCACAAAACAAATTAAAATGTCCATATTTCTACTTTTAATTGGAAATTTGAATTCTTTTCAAAACAGATTGGAATTTTGTTTCCAAAAGAATTTAATTTTTTTCTTTTATAACTCAAAAAGCCGTATGTCTTAATTTTTTAGTTTTAACTGGAAAAATTCATTTTTTTTTTTTTACAGAAATTCAAATCTGTTTTGGAAAGAATTAAAATTTTCAATTAAAAGTTGAAATTTGGACATTTTAATTCATTTACCGAGCAATGGTTTTTTGTTCAGTTTCTGAATCATTGTTAAAATTTATTTTCAAACAGAAACTGGAATACACTTAACAACGCAAATTTGACACAACTTTACACTAAAAATTACAATTTTACATAATATAACCAAAAATTATTTTTTGCAGCGCTCTTCCATCTCCCGTATCATTGTTACCGGCTCCGTGCAGAAGAACGTGATCCAGTCTTCGGTTACCACCGACAAGATCATCCTCAGCCCCGTCCTGTACAACGCTCAGAAGGGTATGGTCGTGTCTCGCATGAACATCACCCTGCAGGCTGTCCGCTCCTCCTCCGGCTCTCCCCAGTCTGTGCCCAACCCCAAGAAGTACAGCGACCTGGTTTACGACTACAACCCCGTCTACCCCAGCGGCCACGACGCCCCCGCCTACGCCGGTGGCAGGACCGAGGAGGACTCCTCCAGCTCCAGCAGCTCTACCCCCAACGGTTCCGAGCGCTCCGACAGCGACAGCCAAAGCCAGCCTCAGCGCCGCCACAACCGCGACTCTGATGAGGACCGCCACAACCGCCCCCGTCGCTCCACCCAGCAGGACTATAACAAGCAGAAGGACTACAACAAGCAGAAGGACTACAAGCAGAAGGACCAGAAGAAGCGCCAGCAGAATGACTCCTCTTCCTCCAGCTCTTCCTCCTCCAGCTCCTCTTCGTCCTCCTCTTCTTCCAGCAGCTCTAGCAGCTCCAGCAGCTCCAGTGATGAACAGCACCAGCCCAAGCCCACCATGAGCCAGCCTCCCAAGATCCCCATGCTTCCCTTCTTCGTCGGCTACCAGGGCAAGGCCATCGAGTACTCTAGCCAGGTTAGTTGGAAATTTACTTAAAATTTATTATAAATTGCAAAATAAAACACTTTTTGAAAAAAATTCTTATGTAATTGTGTGTTTACAGGTCCAGGCTGTCAGCGCTGTCAAGCGTCTTGCTCAGCAGATCGGCAACGACCTGCAGAACCCCAGCCAGATCCCCCAGCGCGACACCCTTGCCAAGTACACCCTGGTCGCCCGCCTGGTTCGCATCATGAGCACCAAGCAGCTCGAGCAGGTGACCAGCGACCTGTACACCCAGCAGACCAACAACGTCAGCCCTCGTCGTCTGGCCTGGAAGGCTTTCCGTGATGCCGTCGCCACCGCCGGTACCGGCCCTGCCCTCCAGATCATCAAGGAATGGATCATGAGCCGCAAGGTTCAGGGTGAGGAAGCCGCCGAGCTCATCGCCGTCCTGCCCAAGACCGCCCGCCTGCCCACTCCCGAGTACATGAAGGCCTTCTTCGTAAGTCGATGAATGCATTTTATTTTTATTTTAAGGAGTACAAAATATTAGTTTTAAATACTAGATTCTTTTAATTTTATTTCTCTTCGATAGAAATTTACGGTCTCACCTTTAAGGCCCTTTTTTGGCTCTTCGAAAATAGGCAAAAAAAATCAAAACTGATTATTTGAACCAATTTTAAAATGTATTAATGCTGAAATTTTAACAAATTCCAGGAGCTTGCCACCAAGCAGGAAGTCCAGCACCAGCTCTTCCTGAACAGCACCGCCATCCTGGCCTTCACCGACCTTCTGCGCCAGGCTCAGGTCAACAACCAGACCGCCCACAACCGTTTCCCCGTGCACAGCTTCGGCCGTCTGTCTCCCTCTCGTCTGTCCGACGTCCAGAATGAGTACATTCCCTGGCTGGCCCGCCAGCTTAAGAGCGCCGTCAGGAACGCTGACAGCCACAAGATCCAGGTTTACATCCGCGCCCTTGGAAACGTTGCCCACCCCAAGATCCTGTCCGTCTACGAGCCCTACCTTGAGGGCAAGGAGTCCATGTCCGACTTCCAGCGTCTGCTGATCGTCGTCTCTCTGGACAAGCTCGTTCGCGTCTACCCCTCTGCTGCCCGCAGGGTCCTCTACAACATCTACCAGAACACCGGTGAGGCTCACGAGCTCCGTTGCGCCGCTGTGTTCCAGCTGATGAAGACCGCCCCTCCTGCCTACATGCTCCAGCGCATGGCCGAGTTCACCAACTACGACACCAGCTCCCAGGTCAACGCCGCCGTCAAGTCTTCCATCCAGTCTGCCGCCAACATGTTCCACACCACCACCGGTGGTCTGGAGATTCAGCTGTGAGTTTTACTTTTCATTTAATTCTTACTTCTGTTGATAAATTAAAAATTATTATTTATTTCTTGATTATTTTAATATAATTTACTGGTGGATTTAACGCATAAAATATTTTAGGGCCAAGAACGCCAAGGCTGCCCTTCACCTGCTCACTCCTAAGGTCTACGGTATGCACAAGTCTCGCAACTTCATGCGCAGCTACATGGTTAAGGAGATGGGTCTTGGCTACAAGCAGCAGCTTGCCTACATCGGCAGCAGCGACAGCATCCTGCCCAACTCTATCTTCTACACTGTCCGCCGCAACCTCGGTGGTTACAAGCGCCAGTACCTGGCTGTGAGTTTTTGGCATTACATCCAATTTAAAAAAATTTATATTCAATAATATTGCATATTTATGAACAAGTTAAAAATAATTTAAATATTTTCATTTATATTCTCTGAATGTAAGCAAGTATTATCAATTAATTTTGTCGCTTTTCCAATTAAAAATTTTTTATCTAAAAATGCATGAATATAATCTGAGCTATTTTATCAATTTTATTTAATTATTTTCAGTTCGGAGCTATGGTTTCTAGCATTGATGACCTCCTGGACGAGCTTGATGACCAGTACTACGATTCCGACTCTAGCAGCAGCAGCTCCTCCAACAAGAAGAACAAGAGCCAGAAGGGCAAGGGCAAGCAGTCTCAGAAGAGCACCAGCAAGAACCCCTTCAGCCCCGAGAAGATCGCCGAGATGCTCAACATCGAGCCTGACGATGATGACCAGGTTGAGGGCAACGTCCTCTTCAACATGGTTGGCGGCAAGCGCTTCTTCACCTTTGACAACCAGACCATCGAGCGTCTTCCTCAGTACGTCCGTGTGGCCTTCGCCATCCTGAAGAACGGCAAGAACTTCAACTACACCAAGCTGTACAACCAGTACCAGGTGACTCTTGCCTTCCCCACCACCATGGGTCTGCCCTTCGTCTACACTCTGAAGACCCCCACCCTTCTGCACGCCACCGGTGAGGTCTACGGCAAGACCAGCAAGCCTGACCTGGCTGGTAACTCCAACAAGAAGATTGAGACCCCTGACAAGATCAATGTGACCGCCGAGGTTCACTTCGTCTACTCCACCAAGACCGCCTCCAGGATCAGCTTCATCACTCCTTGGGACCACCAGCGCTACATTGCCGGTCTGGACAAGAACATCCAGGTTAACCTGCCCGTCAAGTTGGCCCTTGGTGTCGACACCGACCGCAACCGCGCCCAGCTCCAGATCAAGCCTCTGTACCCCAAGCGCGAGGTTATGCTCCTGCACGCCAGCGTCTGGCCCTACACTGCCAAGCACGATATCCTCGACCTCTCTCCCGTCTCCAGGGAAAAGAACACTGACCCCATCCACGTTCGCGACTCCAAGAAGGGTGAGATTCAGTTCGGCAAGGACTCCGTTGGTCTTGCCTTCAAGGCTAAGTACAGCACTGAGGCTAAGTTCATCGATTACAAGAGCCTGTACGACAAGTTCCAGCGCCACGATGCCATGTCTCTTGTTCTCTATCCTTGGGTTGAGAAGACTATTAAGCGCTCCAACTTCAGCCTCTTCTTCGACGGCCCTAAGTCCGAGACCAAGTCCGTCACCCTCACCGCCGATTATGGTAAATATTCAATTTTTAAGCTTCAATTAAAATATTTAACTTTTTATTTTTCTACAAAAATATTTTTGATTAGTGTTATTTTAATTAAGAGCTGAAGTAAAACAGCAGCCAAAATTATTCTCTCATTAAATTAAATATTGTTTAATGAAATTTAATCTAAATTTCGCTAATTTTGTAATTCAATTAATTTTTAATTTAATTAAAATAATTAGTATTTAATTTGAATCAATTTAATTTATCTTGCTTAGGCAGTGATATAAATATTTGCAACTAAATTCGCAGATGATGATGAGGATGATGAGCCTCAGTCCTCTGAGGAGTCTTCTGGAAGCAGCGAGTCTACTAACAAGCAGGCCCGCCGCCACCCTCGCAGCACCCACCGCTCCAGCGACGAGGACTCTTCCACTAGCGCCCTCCACCAGGAGAAGAACAAGGCCATCCCCAGCAACCAGTATCCCATCAACAGCAAGCGTCAGGAAGATTTCCTGGACCGCGTTGGCTCCGGTATCTCTAACAGCTCTGCTCAGGTCATCGATCTGGCCATCGAGTTCAACGGTCCCAAGAAGGTCTACATGATCGCCACCGCCGCCTACGCTGACTCCGAGGTTGACGAGAAGGCCCGCGTCCTCCTTTACCTGCGCCGCAGCCCCCTGGCCAACAGCCAGAAGTCCTACGAGGCCTGCATGACCGCCACCACCAAGTTCCCCAACGTGCCCATGCTCAACCTCCAGAAGGCCCTCAGGGCCGACCCTACCTCCTACCTCAACGTTGAGCTTGAGCTCGGCGAGAAGTGCGGCAGCAACGCCGGCAAGATCCAGATCCAGGGCAAGATGCAGCAGAGCCAGAAGCGCCAGAAGTACATCAGGGAGCACCCTGTCACCAAGCAGTGCATGAAGGAGATGGACAAGGACAGCAACCAGATCCTGCCCGCCTGCCTGAACGCCACCATCTCCGCTAACCTCCTCGACGTCTACAAGTACAACATCAAGTTCGACAATGTGCCCAAGGGTGTCAAGAACGCTACCTACAAGGCCTATGAGATCGTCCGCTACATGTTCCGTCCTCAGCTGACTGAAGATTTCATCTCCGTCGAAAACAGCAAGAACCAGATCCAGATCCAGATGTACTACGAGCCCGACCTTAAGTCCAAGAACGTTACCATCCAGGCTCCTCTGTTCAATGCCGAGATCACCAACATCCGCATGCCCCGCCCCGTCCGTGCCCTGATGGTCCAGCACCCTCAGCTCACTCCTGATGAGACCCTTGGCAACGAGCTCCTCCGCATGCAGTACAACCGTAAGTCAAGTAAATGAAATCTGAATTCAAATCAATAATTACAAATGGTTAAAAATTGCATAAATTAAGAATAAAATTTTTCTTCCGTCTCTAATACTTATTTTTCAACAGCTACCTGCAGCATTGACAACAAGGCTATCAACACCTTCGACAACAAGACCTACCCCATCAACCTGGGCAAGTGCTGGCACGTTGTGATGCAGACCACCCCCGATGATGATGATGATTCCAGCAGCTCCAGCTCTGACGAAGACGATGATGACGTTTCCATCCTGGTTAGGGAGATCGACTCCAAGCACAAGGAGTTCAAGATCCTTCTTGGCGAGGAGGACGTTGTCGAGCTCTACCCCGACACCTCCAGCTCCAGCATCCAGGGCAAGGTTGTCATGAACGGCCGCACCCTGCGCATCACCAAGAGCAACGTCACCGAGATCACCGACGAGGATGACGAGACCCTCCTCCAGGTCTGGGCTCTTCCCAGCGGCTCCATCATGGTTTCCGCTCCTCAGCATGACATTGAAATGCTGTACGACGGTGAGCGCGCTCTCCTGTTCGCCGAAAATGACCTCAGGGACGATGTCCGTGGTCTTTGCGGCACCTTCGACGGCGAGAAGGCCACCGACTTCACCACCCCCAAGAACTGCGTCCTCAAGGAGCCCCGCGAGTTCGCCGCCATGTGGGCCATCCCCGACAGCAGCTGCCAGGGCCCTGCCAAGGACCTTCAGCACCGCGCCAAGAACCAGCCCTGCTACGACAAGGACGTCACCTACATTGACGTCATCACCGAACGCATCACCAGGGTGTCCTACGCCAGCGACAGCAGCTCTTCCTCCTCCAGCAGCTCTAGCTCCTCTTCCAGCTCCAGCAGCTCTAGCAACAGCACCAGCTCCTCTTCCTCCTCTTCCAGCTCCTCTTCCTCTTCTAGCAGCTCCTCTAGCAGCTCCTCCAGCAACCAGCAGAACAAGAACAAGAAGAAGGTTGAGTCCTCCGGCACCACCTGCACCCAGCACAAGACCAAGGTTGTTCAGGATGGTGACAAGGTCTGCTTCTCCATGCGCCCTCTGCCCGTTTGCCAGAGCCAGTGCTCTCCCCGCGTCAGGATTGAGAAGGAGGTATATTGAAAAAAAATTCAAATTCATTAAAAAACCAAGCGGCATTAGTAGGATTTGGAATTAAAATTTAATTATTGTATGTTTTCAGTTCCCCTTCCTTTGCGTCAAGCAGAGCGAGACCTCCAACCACTGGGAGAAGATGATCGAGAAGGGCAGCTCCCCTGACTTCAGCTCCAAGCAGCCCAGCAAGAAGCTGACCGTCAAGATCCCCGAGGGTTGCCAGAAGTAAGCGCTTCCACCCTTAAAACCCACTATAATGATGAACAACGACCGCAGCTAACGTTTCGAGGACCACGCAAATGATTTAGATGTTTGTATGTGTATCGTCCGTAGCAAGCAAAATAAAATGAGGATTCAATCCAAAACATATAAAAGAAAATTTGCAATGTTTCTGTTGATAAACGCATTCCCTCTTTGTTTACAAATAATATTCAGTATTATTATTGCAATATTCATTACTTGATGCAAATCCAAGATTATTATTGGTGGATTTATAAATAAAAAGAACTCTTTAGTTTAGATTTTCTACACCATAAAAATATTTGCAGATTGTTGCAGATCTTTTCGATTTTTGGAAGTGTTGGAAACAGTTTTAAAATAAGAATTGATGGAAAGGAAATAATAATAAAATCAAAATTTAAAATATATTTTTTTAAATCTACTTATTTTTATTAAAAACTCGTGAGAAAATAATTTAAATTTTTCCTTAGAAAAAATTTACTTAATACATTATAGCATAATCTCATCATAAAATGCTTTTAAATTAAAATTTTGTGACAAAACCTCCCAATGATTTGATTGTTCTACGGTCTAATTATTGATCCCCAGAAAATTGGCAGCGCCGAAGCGTGGTCGTAGATGAAAAAGATGAAGGGCCTGTCCACCTTGAAAACTGGCACAAAACCGTCTCTAGAAAGCGCCGCCGCGGTGGCAGCTGACGCTTCAGTACCTGTTTCAGTCACCTCCAGGGTCACCCTGTGACGCACCTCGTCCACGTGTAAGGGTCCCGACTCAGGGTTGGCCAAGAGGCTGGAAAGGTTGGCCGCCGCAGGGTCAAAAAGGGAAGTCAGGCCGAGAGAGGAGAGGGCCGGCATCAGAGGCACGGCCGCGTCCACTTTGAGCCTTGGAAGGCTGAGCACCAATGAGCGCTCTTTGGTTGCACCCACCAGACCGGAAAGGGCGTCGGGCAATCGCAGCAAACTGTGCTTCAGGACGTGAAGGTGCTCCAGACCCTCCTTGTTAGGTAAAATGACATACATTGAAATCTGAAATAAAAAAAGAAATAATTAATCAATTTTTAAAATAAACTCTAGATTGAAATTTGCAAACACACATTAATTGTGTTTTAATATTTCTTTTAATTTTAAGATTATTCTTTGTTTAAAACATAAGCTGGAAGTTTGAAGGTAAGTTATAAAAAAACAATTAAAAAAAACTTACTAAACAATATTTTTATGCAGGATAATTTAAAGAGACTTAAAGCAATAATTCATTCACCTCATTTAAAGCAAATTGAATCCATTTTCTCAAATAATTATTTAAATCCTAAAAATTCAATGTTCTTTTTTTGAAACATTGATTTATCAAAATTGGACGAGATCCTATTAATTTTACCTTAGAGGCATTGTTGTTGGTTTTGTACGGGAGCCCAACAATGGCACAGTCGAGAAGTTTGCTGCGGGCATAGGGTAGGTGTCCCTCTCTCGCCATCATAGACACATTCACTGCCTCTCCTCCAGGCACCCTGAAAGGAGCCACCCTAGTTGCCTCGGGTAAGAACGGACTCAACCAGGCGCCGTTGAAGTACAGGGCGCTGGCCAGAATCAGTTTTGTGTAACTGGCCGGCGGTTCAGGCAGCAAGTCTTGGATTTTGTTGTTCGTCCTGTCCGCAACCCATCTGAGAAAGAAAGTTTCAAATTTTGTTAATTTGAAGCAAATTATTTAATTTAATTACTTGTTAATCAGGACTTGCGCTCCGGAAGGGTCGTTGGCAAAGTCCAAGCTGTAAATGTCACTGTTGTAGGCTCGTCTGCTCAGCTCCAAAAATCTGCTGCTCACCGGAAGTGCTTGTCTTAGAAAAACGGCCTTGCCCGCAAAAGTCTGCAAATCAGTCTCTGCAAAGTAAAAATTAATTAATTTAAAATAATGAAAATTATGGAGGATTTCATGAAAAAGTTTCCTTGAATAAATTTATTTCAAGATAATTTTAGTAAATTAATTTTTTCTAATTTTATTAGTTTAAATTACCATTATCGTAAATGAAGTCATTCAACAGGTGTCCGTACATGAAGTGTGTGTCGTCCGTGACATGGCTAAGACCCAAAACGTTGGCCACTTCCTCTTTCGTGCGGCCCTCGGCGGCCAGCAAAACCAGGGCCAAAACCGAGGCAATGCAGAGTGGAGAGAAGACCACATTGGACATTCGTAAACTCGGGTCATTTTGCCGAATCGCCAAATCCAACTGAAAATTTCAATGAAAATTCAACTTTTTAAAATATAAAATTCAATTATTTTACATGAATGCTAAATCTTTGAAGACTTTGGGCTGAGATTTGTTCGAAAGCAGTCGGTTGGTGTCGGTTGAGGAAGATGATTTTGTCGGCGTAGTCGGAAGACTCGTAGTCCTCGACTGGCATCATTTGTCGCAGGGAGGGGTTGGTTTGCTCGTGGAAGAGGCCGCGACGTTGAGTCCAGGACGCCACAACGCCAAAGCACGCGGCGACCACAACTGCTGTTATCGTCACCTGAAATTAAGTGAAAAAATTAAGAAAAATCCTAGTAATTTTGATAGTTTTGCTTCATTTAAACGTTATAAATATAATTTTTATTGAAATTACACCATAAAAAATAATTACATTATTTCAAATCCCATCAGTTAAAAATTAAATAGATTTTACTAATTTATTTGCTTCGTCACCGTGACTAAGTCATCAAATAAATATTCCAAATTTCATGAATCATAAATAAATATTTATCATAAAATTTAATTACAAAATTCACAAACGTCCATTTCCTTTAAAAACCACGTACGTCGCCAACAAAGGAAGAAAACAGTATGGCTTAAAATATTAATATCGTGACGATCTTATATCCGCTAACTGGAAAACCACACACAAACGAGATAGAGAAGCACGAACTAAAATACAATAATAGGATTTTTTCGATTCACGCCAAGGCCAGAATTGGCTTGGTATTCACTCAACAAACAATGCGCCGTGCAGAAACAATGCACTTGAAATAAAAAAAAGAGGCGCGCTTGAAAAGAGCTTAATTAATGATTCATTCAGGGAAAAAAATACATTCGCATGGACATGCATCTTAAGTCAATTAAACATCACAACATGCCGCTGTTGAAAGAAGAGGAAAAAAATTTCAAATATTATTTATATGATAATTTTAAAGCTTTGATAATATTTAAAATAATTAAGATTTTTCAAAATTTATAATTCAAATAGTAAATTAAATTTCTAAATTTTTAATAAATTTATCATGATTTATTTTTCACTAATTTTATAATTTATCTATCAAAATACAAATTTAAAACGAACTCTTTAATAAGTTCAATGATATTTTCAAGTTAAAAAAAAAATTGTTTTGATAAGCTTTTGTGAGAAAATAAAATTAGCTGATTAAATTACTGGTTACTATTTCTCTATTACAATTGATTTAAAAAAAAAAACGAAGGAATTTAGTGGACCCTGAATTAAAATGCGAAACCTTCATTTGACCTTTCATTCCGGCTAAATCGGAGCAATAACTCTCGTTTTCATTATATAAATGTGGAGTAAGAAAAGGAACATTCCAAGTGAAGAGAGGCACGTACGGCACTACAAAGAGCTGCGCGAATATAGTGATATAATTTTGCCATCGACATTAATTTATACTTGTCTGCAGAATCTACGCAACATGCCGAGAAAAATAAAAGAATAAATGTTGCGCGATATATTTTTTTTTCTCCTCTCTGAAACAACTTTAATAACTCGGCCGTCCCACGTATGTACACCCATTTGAATAATCGGCCGCAGGCAAAACGTGTAACTGACGCACAACAACAATAATGCCTAATTCCTTTGAGTTGAATGGACACATTTATTTGGATTGTTATTCAGAACATCTAGAAGGGAAAGAATTAAGTTGGAATTTCCCGACTTGTTTACACTTGGTGCAATTAGGCGCGTCGTACTAATTAGAGCCAAGCATTGACATGATAAGTAATAAACTTTTACAGAGGAAAATTAAAATTATAAAGAAATATTTCGTTAACATTTATATTTATTGCAAATTAAGAACACTAAAGGATTGTCGATTGTGTATTTTTATTGCACCGGCGACTCTCTCTGTCTCTCTACTTGGCGGGCTTCCTGTTTATATGCACGGAACGCTCCACGATTTTTAAACTATCCAAATTCGTACGTGCGTATTATTTTATTTCATAACACACCAAGCGAGAGAGGCACACATTGTGTCATTCAGACGCCCAACTGTAAATTTTGAGGCAAAAGAGATTATAAATGAGAAACAAAAACCTCTTCTCTTCGCATCTCTCTCGGCGTGTGAATGAATGATAATTTTTGATAACTGTTCATCACAGTTTAAGATGCACGCTCTTAATTTATGAAATAGGACGCAGAAATTTTAGAGGAATTAACTGGAAAGGGTATTTTGAAAGTGGAAAAGCGAGGATAGGACGCTGACCTAGTTGAATAAAATTTTTCCCAAAATTAATAGGAAATGAAAAAGCTCACCTGCATGCTTGTTTCCTCTTCGGTCGCTGAAACCAATCTACGCCTGACAGACGCAGCCAACCTTGCCAATCCCCTCCCCTGACAGGCCCCTTCCAATTCACTTTTTGTAAGCCTGTTGGGTTTTTCACATCTCCCTACGTAATTTATTTCTTTTGCGTCAATGAAGAGAATTCTTCATTTCCTTAATCTCTTGTGAACCAGGCACAAAGAGCAAATTTATTTTTACAATTTCATTTTTGGTACATATTCTAAAAGTGACAAAAAACCAAAACGCTTTCTTCATTATTGCCCTTTTTCTAGTTAGAAAGATCTGTATCTCAACAAATATGACTGGAAAACATTAAAAACAAAAACTTTAACGAGAATGAAATGTGGTCCCCTCAGAGGTTGCAAATTGCATATATAAAATATGGCGTTTTGTGCTTTAAATCGCGCGGAATGAAATCTACACAGTCGAGCGCCCCCCACTAGGACGCCCAAGTGAATAGTTTTCTTAATCACAATCCTTTTATCCTTCCTGCTCCTGGAAATTTTCACAGAGTGACTGCAGCTGTAGCAGGACACCGGATATCTGAAGCAGACACCAAGATGCACAATTGATTTAATGACAAATTCAAATTGTAAATAAATAAAAAAAACTCACTTGGTCTACTTTGACTTGTATCAGTGCTTGCTTCTCAGGGTTGGTCTCAGCCAGCACCTGAGCTCGGAATGTTTCAAGAGACCTCGACGCTTGGTCTTGTAGTTCCATCAGTCTCGCAGCCTAAAAGAAAAACGACAAAAAATGTTACACAAATTAATTGTATTTTCCTTTAATATAAATTCTATAATTATTTATGAATTGAACCTGATAAAAAAAATTTAATAAACATGTGGATAAAAAGATATTTATTTTTAGTTGAAATTTTTTTCTTAATAAAATAATATAAAATTTATATAACAAAGTAATTTATTAAATTTGAGTTAGGATTAAAAGTAAGTAATTGATTAATTAATTTTAACTTTAAATCAAATTAAATGAAAGCTCCTCAATGGATCCCAAATTTGAAAATAATTAAATTAATTTTTTTAAAATTATTTTTAATTCAACATGCAAATTAAACGTGCAAAATAATAATAAAACAAAAACTAACATTGACGGGTGAGGCTGATCCAGAGGATCTGTGTTCCTCAGCCGTTTCTTCAGGTGAGACAGAGTGACTCGCAGTGTTGGCCGAATCCTCCTGGAAGCCACTGCTGTCCGACTGGGCACTGCCGGTGCGGGAAAGAATACCTTCTGCAGCTCTAGGCGCCCCTGACGAGGACGTCGACGGCTCCTCATCTTCGCTCACCCTGTTCTGCCGCTTGAGACTTCCACGACGGGCGGCCAGAGCTGCAGCGGCCGCCTCAGCCCCCACAGGCTTTGTCCGAAGTAAGTCAGGAGGCTCAGACTCGGAACGGGCCTGCTGCTCCTGCTCGGACGTTTCTTCGATGGACGAGAAGGTGCTGAAGGCTGGCTTCTGACCCGCGGGTGGCGACGGCACCCAAGAGTCTGATTCCCAGGAACTGAAACTGGATGACGAAACCATCCTAGAAATATGATAAAGCGTGATAAAGCTTTGTCAGGAATGGAAAAATGTAAACAAAAATGTTAATCTTCACAGGAATTTATTAAAAATGTAAAGAAGAAGACAAAAATATTGCTTTTTTTTAAATATATTTTTTCTGAAAATTACTTTTCAGCATTTTTATGAATATTTCTTTTGCTTTTTTTTTATTCTGTGTATCATTTGAATGGAGAATAAATGAATAAATAAATTACTAATTTAATGAATTTGATGTGTCATGGAACTTTACTAGTTTTTATGAAATATCCTATTGGAATTTTAATTAATTTTTGTTATAAAAATTAAAATTTTTATTCACTCACCTGGCAGGTGGCTTTGCTGGAGTGGAGGCGGCAACTGGAACGGGCGGAGGCGGCAGCTCAGGCGGCGGCGTGAGTGGGCGGGAGCGTTTCAGAAAGGAGCGGCGACGAAAATCCTCGTCAGACTCATCAGAGTCGTCCGAGTAGCTGGTGGTCGAGGACAGCATTGAGTCTTTGTGCACAAGAGGCGGTGGGAAGCGGGCTGGTGGTTTGTCTGGAGGCGGCGCAGGCAGGGCTTTTTCGTTGCACTCAATCAGGTCGTCGCCGCTGAAGGTGTAAGAGCGGCGGCCCATGATGATGCGCCTAGGCACGTCCGGACTCTTGGACAGTGCCTGCTTCTCCAAGAATTTACGGTTGTCCGCGTTTAGCACACTTGCCGTCGACTGGATAGAAAAATTTATGTATTTATAATTTTAGAAATTTATTTTTGTTTGATAATTTAAAAACATTCTTGTGTGGATAATTGTATATAATATTGGAACTAAAAAATATTAAATTTTTCACTTTTTCCTAGACTACAAAGTCCCTCATTTTCACTACAATACCCATGCGATTTTTGTTCTAGAGCCTCTCGCTAAAACGTTTCCAAAGACATTGTAACTAATCAATAAGAATTTCGAAAGCAATCAAGCAATCTAAAGCAACTTGCAACAAAATTTTTCTGGCTCAAAATTACCTTCCGAAAACAGTCTTGGTTACAGTAAAAAATCAAAACTCACAGAATTTTGACTGTCGGACTTCCAGCTTTGGATTCTGGTGAGGACGCTCTTGGAGTTTTGCACTTTTTGCGCGGCCTTGGCGAATCGATGTCCCGTATCTGCCGAGCCAATCACTGCCAATTAAAATCGATTAAGCGCCAATCTAACGGATCAATCGAACAATTACCTTGCGTGTCAGTCGAGGGCACAGTTTGCGGGGCTGCAGGGGCCGAGGCCACCGACCCCTCCGAGTTGGAACGCTCGTGGTGCCTCAGTCTCTCCATGATTTTGGCAACTATCGGCGATGGAGTGTGTGACGGACCTGAAATCGGACACTTTGATAAAATCTCATTCATAACTACTTTAAATTAAAAAAAGCAAACATGGAAAAACAAATAAATAAAACAGAACAATGTAAAAGACTAGGTTAAAAATTAGGAGAAAACTGCAAAAATCAGCAACGAATTAACACCTAAAATAGAAAGCAAATAAAATAATAAACAAAAAATATGAAATAGTGAATTTCTTCTCACCTCCACCTTTGATTGAGATGGTAATGAATTTGCATCAAATGAATAGACTGATTTCTTTTTTGTAAAAATACTATAAACGACTCAGAAATTTATTTCAAAAGCATCGGCGTTAGTTTTCTTCAGGTGTATAAATTAATTATTCCTAATTTTGATGAGTTTTGATTTTGTTAATGATTTTGATTGGTGTTGGTTGATATAACAGGGGGTTTAAATTATGGCTATGTTATGCACGTTGTTGGGGATGGCGGCGACGTGCTCTTCCTTCTCCTCGATGCGTTCTCGGCGCCTTTTCATGGAGTGAGTTCGCTTGCGGAAGCGCATCGGCACCTCGCTGTTACTTGACACAGGACAAGAACGAACCGACGAGCCTGACTTGGCGTTAAAATATCTAAAAACTGTAAAGTAGACAGGGATGCTCACCTGTGAGACCGCGGTAGCCGTGGAAGCCTGTTTCGTATGTCTCGGCCTGATGGCGCTCGATGTTGTAGAATTGATTGATTGAGATTCCCTTCACCTAAAATTACATAAAAGAAGAAAATAATTTATATTTTGGTATCAAATAAATTAAATTAGTCAGTAATTTTGATATATTTTTGCTTTGTGAATGAAATAACAAGAAAGTGGAGTAACAAAGTTATGCGGGAGTTGGTTGAGGCTTCAGGTCAAGAATCGCGTGAAAAGGTGAAAAGAAACCACATAACTTGTTTGGCTTACTCTATTCAGCTAAAAAGTGTTTCAAGGCTAAAAAGAGTACAGAAGAATTTAAAATTCCGTACTGGGGTGAATTTTCCTTTCAGAAAAATAAAGTAAATTTCTTGAATAATGAAAATGAATATTTTATTTATAAATATCCTAGTAAAAACTGTGCAAATGAGTAAAACTTTAAATTGATTTATTGAAACTATTGATAGTTAATATTCAATTTTTGAATTAATTTGAAATCTCATTTGATTGGAATATTTGCAAAACAAACAGTTTTTCTAAATAACATTATTATAGAGAACTAAATTTTAGTACTGCACCTGTGAGGGTTGCAGGAAGCGTTGTGGAATTCTGGAGAGGCCCAGCTCATTTGAAGAGTCTTGGGAGCCGCCAAAGCCCAGGTTGAACAGGATGGTTTCGGGGTCAGGCTTCCGTGACTCAAGATAACTCTCGACGCCCGCGCTGGACGCATTCGAGGCGGCCGAGTCAGAGGCAAATGAGGCGACGCGTTCTCCACTCTTGAAGGCCTCCCTGCGCCGCAACTGCACCTCACAGCCTGACTCTTCCTCCGTTTGCTGCGGGCTGAAATAAAATACAAAATAAGTTCGTAAAAATATTCATATTTAAATTTTGGAAATAAAATAATAACTTTTTTTTAACTGTAGATTTAATTTAAATAAAAAAATTTATTTCGCGAAGAAAATTGCCTTTAAATTCAAATATTGAGCTCTTTCATTGAAACTCATTGAATATCTGGACTTTTGGGAAGTTTTAAACTTTTATCGAATAAAATATTTGATAGATACTTTCACTTTATTCTTATACTTTGAATTTAATTACATTTAAAAAAAGCATCAATCGGCTTACACTCGTGTATGGCAAACAGTTAATAATTCAATTTTCCTTCAATTTTTTACTCAAATAAATCTGCGTTTCCCCCGCTTTGATTGTGGATATGATGATTTTAATTGTAAAAATGGAAACGATTGCGACCGAGGCAAATTTGGGGGTAGCTGGATGGCATTTTACTCACCCCTGAACAACGATGGATGGCGGCGTCTGCCTGAGAATCAGCTCGGCTGCAAGCACAAAAGCGGCGCGGCTTAGCCAAAGCGTACAAGAGAATAATCATGGCACAAATAATTTATTTACACACGCAGCACGGCGGATAAAACGTACCTTCGGCGCCGAGGGCCAGAGTGTCCGCGTGCTCGCCAGAGGCCTCCTCGTGTCTGCGCCTGCAACAAGAACAACGCATTCGCACCAAAACGCTCTCTGGTTTCCGTCATGCACCGCCGACCAGAAAGAAAAAACTGAGGAGGAAAACAAAACGGCCGAGAAAGAAAATAAAAATAAATCGAGGGGCAAAAAAGACTCTCCTCGAAAGGTCGAAACGAACCATTTGAATTTTTGCTCTTTCTTTTGAGGCAAAGGGAAGTTTTTGAACTGCTCAATAAAAGAGGCGATTGGCGCGACGGAGATCAGAGGGAAGCAAAAATGATTGTTTTGTATAAACTGGCGCGGCCAAAGCACAAAGCCGCTGCTGCAACAAAGGGGCTCTGGGGCGGCACCAAAGCGACAACAAGGATGGATATTTTTGGATTGTCCTTACTGGATGACGGGCGACGAGGGCACCTCGCCAGGGTGCGGCAGCGAGTCGATCCATTCTTGGACAGTCACTGGAGACTTTCGCGGCGGCAGGTCTTCGGAGGCGGTGAGCGCGATCCGACGCGCGGGAGGAGGATCCTCAGGGCCCTTTGCCGCCGCAGCTGGGCCCTAAAACAAAATTTAAAATGTTAAAAAATCAATTAGTTTATTATTATGCACACCCAACGATCTCCAGGCCTGTAGCCGCGCGAACTGGAGCAGTGAACTCTCTACACTAGAGCTGCCACCGCTCTAAGCTTAGAGCAGCCACCGCTCTAAGAAAAAGCCCATAACGTTACACTAGAGCGGCCACCGCTCTAAGAAATTTCCCATAACGTTACACTAGAGCGGTGACAGCTCTAAGCTTTGTTGGGTGCACTTTTAAGGGCCAAATCTCAAAATTTCAGCACAAACTAAATTTTTTCTTTTTCTTAAATTCCAGCAAGAAACCGCATAAAATTGAACTAGAATTGGCGAATATTTTACTCCTTTTCATTCAATCAACAGCAAGGGATCGGGAAAAATAGCTGTGAAGTGTTTTATTTGATAAGATTGAGATTCTACAAAATGACTAACTTCTTAGAAAACATAAATTGTTAAATTAAAGTAAACATCAACTTTGTGTCACCCATTTTTAAAATTTCATATTTTATCGCCCATTTAAAAAGTAAATTTCTTATTTTTGAAAATATCGACCACATTAAAAAATATCAACCAGAAGCAATAGAAATTTTACATTCTGATAAAAATTAATTTTTTCTTTCTTTTTCAGATAAAAATCCACCTATTCACCTAAAAAAGACCTTACGATTCCCCCAAGCCTATACCAATCGCCTCAAAACCTCAGAAATGACCCATTTCAAAGGTCAAAAGAAAGTGATTTATGAGAATGCGTAATATGACTTTAAAAAAAAAGGTTTCAACCTTTTCCAGGGGCAACAACATTAAGTTTATTTAATTCATAATTGGCTGTAATTAGCGCTGGGCTAAATCTTATCAAATAGAAAACTCCAGCGCTCTTTGTTTGCTCAATTCAAAAGTTCATTCACTTGACAATTTATTATTTGAATGAACTGTTTAATTAATTTTAAATATTTATTTTACTTCCAATTTATTTTCTAACAAAGAGCAGAGATGTTCCAGATTTTATCCAAATTATTACTCAATTTAGAATTTAATTTATCCATAAAAAAAATGCAATAATATTAAAAACATACGACAAAATTATTATTCTTCTTATTATTATTGTTGTTTATTTGCTTAAATTGTTGACAAAAGTAAAGAATAATTTTGCTCTTTATAATATTATTGAATTTTTTATTTTGGATAAATTTGAAATTATAAAATAAGTAATTATTTGGATAACACCTGGAAAATCTCTGATCTTCATTAGAAAATAAGTTGTAAATACAATTAAGATTCAAAATCAATTGTAAATATTAATAAAAAAATCCGCATTTACCTGCTCCTCGTTGGAGGTTTCTGGCGCTTTCATGTGTCCGGCGGAAAGGTCATGGTCGGTGCTGGCGAACTGAGCCGCCAGGTACCTGCGGAAGGGCGCCTCGATGGACCTCAGGAGGCCCTGCAGGCGCTTCTGGAGTTTGGCTGGGCTGCTCTTGACGTCTGCGGAAACCAATTTCACTTGAATAAAGAAAAACCACTTCATGCAAAGTTTACAACTTTTCACGCGGCCGCCGAGTGATTATTTTCGAACAACATTCACGAAAATAACACATAAAAGTACAAACATATACATCTAGAGAGAGAAGGACAGACAGGCTTTATCAGTTGTAATTGCTGTGCTCGCGTCCGCGGCGCCGCGAGTGTGTTCGCGAACAAAACAAATATTTAAATTCAAAGTGTATTCTGGTGTCCCGAAAGTGTAGCGGTTTGCGTGCGTATGTGTTTGGCCAGACAGTCGGTGCTGACGACAATTATTATTTTGGTTCATGACATCCACGACTCGGTGCCGGAAGAGTTAAACATTTTAAAAGAAATCAGATTTCGCAAATGTATGCGGGATGGGATAGGAATAATTTTCAAAGATTTCCATTGTTTTGTGGAAAGAAAATAAATTTTCATTGTTGAGTTTCAGGTCTTAATTGTTATTTCAGAGTGAATAAAATAATGATACAAAATTTATAAAAATTTATGGTAAATAAATTTTGATTTGTACCAAACAGAATAAAAATAATTAGTGATGATTTGAATTTAAAGTCGGCTTTTCCTTGATGAGTTTTGTGAGTTGTTTGTTGTTTAAGATAAACAATATCCTTCTCTACATGTTTCGGCTGTGGGCTGCAGCCATAATTCGTAGGCTGTGAAATTATTTTGACTAAATTTAGTACATAAAGTGATAAAATTATATTTCATCGTTATATTTTTTCATCCAAAAATCAATTTTTTTCACCAAACATGAATTTTTCTAAAAAAAATTTGATTATTTGATGAAAATACTTTTATAAAATCAATTTATGTACTAATTTTCATCAAAATAATTTCACAGCTCATGAATTATGGATGCAGCCCGCAGCCGAAACATGTAGAGCAGGATATTGTTTTTTCTCAAGCATTAAAAAATTCACAAAACCCATTGGGGAAAAAGGCGACTTTAAATTCAAATCACCATGAATCAACAATAATACAAGAATAATGTGCTTCATTTTCGCCTGGGAATAAATGGAACAAAATTATTGCAATTTTACTTGGCTTTGTTTATTTCTTTTTAAAAATAATTCAAATAATTCTAAATAATTTTAATCACAAATTTATAATTAATTATAATCATTTCTTTGATTACATTCAATTGTGCAAACAATTTAATTACAAAAGTTGAATTTTTGGACAAAACGGCACCACCGCTAACAAGAATTCTTCTAAAACTTTCGCGATTATAAAGGCCCCAAGCACAGCAGTAAGCATAAAAATTAACCCAAATTAACGTAGTAATAAATTTTGTTCCAACAATGTTAGAACTAAAAATAGTTTTATTCCAAAATAAACTTTAAACGTAAAAGTTTTCAAAAAACAAATCATTAAAAAAAACTAAACTCAAATTCTAAACAATTGTTGAAGCCAATAATCGTAAATTTGTGGATTCCGTGCCAACTGCGCTAAAATGTTTCGCGGTTTTAACAGTTTAAAATAGTTCTGTAAACATTCCGGCTCCAGTTCGGAACGCGGCATAAAATTAAAAAAAATAATACCTTTGTTTTTAGGTTTGACCTACAAGATGAAGCTGCCAATTCTCTTCCCATTTGATTTCAAATTAATAATTTTTATGATTGCAATTCGCATAACATTGAAAGGATGTAATAGTTCGGGTTGGAAATAAATACGAATGCCCTTCCTCTGCTCGTCCGCGTGACAAGTATTAGCATAAAACGTGTCCAATTGTGTGTGTTATTACATGTTTTATGTCAGGCTGCGGTTCACGGCAGTAGATTTTCATTATCGCAACACGTACCACGCAGATTGGAAAATTGAGCGCTCGGTTATTGTCAATAATTGTGTCTGAAGTGCGGGTGTGACAGTTATTGTGACACAAGGGATCAAGTCTTTTGATTTTGGTGTTTAGAGGCATGCGTCGGACGGTTTAAAAAAATTAAGAACGGCCGCAATTGCTGCTCTGCGGAGAGGTACAAATAAGTAAATCGCAAACTGTGCAATCGACGCTGCGAGGCAACACGATCAGTTACATAATTGCTGAGTAATTATTTCCAGGAAGGAGAAAATAATAAAAAAAATATTTAAAGATTTCAATTTTTTAAAGAAACCGATGAAATTAATAAAGTCGAATGATAATTTAAATTAATTTACAATAATACAGAGCAACAACAGCCATTTAGATTTAATTAAAGTGGATGTAAATTTTTTTAAATTTCCCAATGGAGACGAAAATTTTAAATATTTGTCTCATTTTATTACAGTTTAGAAATCTGTAGGTCAATTTAAAGTTTTTATGTAATATAAATTAAAATTCTCTCGATTTTTAGAACAATTTTTCTCCTGCTCTTTGCATTAATTTACATCCACCCCTTTAAGGTGAAATTTATATTTCTTTGAGGACAGGGTTTTTAATTAATTGTGTCGTGTCAAGCAAATTCGAGTCGGTACCAACCTAGGCCCTGCATCTCCCCGCTTTGCATGAACACCAATAATAAGAGAGAGCACAAATTATTAATTCTTTTTCCTTAATAATTTCAGAGTAAATTCAATCAAAGATCGAGATAAATTAGCCCCGTTTGACTCCTCGCAGGACAAGCGATCGATTTTGCGTCATTTCCCAGCAAAGTGGCGCAGAACGATATGTATTTTACCTTGGCACAGTAAAATTAATAACAAACCACTTGTTAATAATGCAAGAAATCCTCGTCAGTCAGCTGATTCGGACTTCGGACATGACCACGAACGGCCCCCGCGAGGGCCACCCTCGGAGGCGGCCCGATCGAATCGGCGACTCACCTCGCGGCTCGATACCGTCGACGATCCTCGTCGGCCCGACGGCTGCTTCGAGTTTCCTTCCTCAAACTGGTCCTCGTTTCTCTGCAATTCGCCCGACACACCGACGACTGCAACTTTCCATCCGACCCGTCCAAGGCGAACCCGCCGACAGAGCACCCTGACGGGTGCGGTGCGAACTTTTGGTATCAGTTTGACATCGGTTGGCGCGAATACGCCGGAATCTGCAAAATTTGCTAAAATTATTAAATAGAGAGTGGATATTTTAATTTTAATTGTGTTGTTTAAAAAAATTTAAGCCCATACGAAAGAAATAAAAAATTAGAAAAATTACTTCGCAAGAATACAAGAGAATTCATTGTATGCACAAATCTGAAGAACTCGTTTTTTTTTTATATTTTATTAGAGGGGCAAATCCAAAAACCTGCATGGCTGATTTTGCTTATTTGAGGCCATTTATTGGACTGCTTGTGGGACTATGTCCTCTATTCTGTATATTTGAGCTAAATAATCCTAAAGAGAAATTGAAAAAAAGTTATTTTCACATTATTGCAAAATATGTTGAAAAAAATTGGAGCAATTTTCCAGGCTGACGAGCAGTGAGAAATTGCGCGCATCTAAAAATTAATAATTTTCTCCACATTCATAACCGGAAAAAAAGCAAAAATGCTGCATTTAAAATTTGACTGTGCTTTCTGGCCGTAGATCAACTATAGCTTTTAATTTAAATTGTGAACGACAATACTTTTTTTACAACTTTTATTGAGAATAATTTTAATTTTTTCTCGGAAAAATTTAATTTACATTAAATCCATGATTTTTACCCAGGCATAATTTTAAATATTTGTTGTTGACACATACAAAATTTTATTAAAGACAACCTGCGTCCCTTAAATGCAAATATTTGATCAAGATTAGGCACGTCAAAAGTTCTTCTTTTCCAACGCATTCACGTCAATTTTTGTTCAAAAAGTGCGTGCAAAAGATGAAGTTCAAATGTCTTTCCGTGTCTACTTTAATTTTAGTTTTCGTCATTGTGAACGTTTATTTAGGAACAATCGTCTCGAAATACATGGTGGACTTGATTCTGTCTGCGGAGGGGCCCAAAAATTTGACGAGCCAACAGGACCAACTTGTGGAATATTTTGTTGCAAAATTCGGTACCAGAAATGAGAGCGAAACATCAGTGACGGCCGAAGAGATAGAAATTTTTATTCCCAGCCCCGCGACAAACCACTATGAGGTACAAAAATGACTTTAAAAATTATTCCGTTAAAAAATTTATTGTTGTAAATAAATAAATAAATTTTGTATTCATAAATAATTTTTTACAGGCAACAAGTGCAGTTCAAAATCAACACTACCCATGCCCAGACGTGCCCATAGTGACTGTCGAGCACGGTGGTCGTCTCGGAAACAAAATCTGGGAGTACGCGGCCGTGTGGTGCCTTTCCAGGCTGATGGGCCGCCCTGGTTTTGTTCCCATCTCCCTTTTGTCAACCCTGAGCACCGTCTTCAACGACCTCAGCCTACCCGCCATTGAAGAAATCGAACATTGTGGTTTAGAGTTGGACCGGAAACCGGTCACCCTTCAGCAACTGATGCCGCTGACAGAACTGATTCACCGTTACAGGGGACGAAACCTTTTACTCCCCAAGTACATTGTTTTTCTAGAACCGATTTTTCTCTACCGAGACCTTTTGAGGGACGAACTGAGTTTCAAAACGGAAATCCTGCGGCAGGTTCAGGAGACGATCGATCAGGTCGGAGGGTCCAGGAAAACTCTGGTTGGAGTCCACGTGAGAAGGACCGATTTCAAGGAATTTCTTCCGAGGGCCTTCAACAGCTCCCTCGCCGACGAAGACTATTACAAGGTAAAATTATAAAAATAATATTTTAATTATTTAATACATTTTTTTTTCAATTTAGAAAGCTATGAATTGGTATCGAGTGAATTTAAAAGGCCCGATTTTATTTCTGGTGGTCAGCGATGATGTTCCTTGGTGCAAAAAGAACCTTCTGTCTAAGGATGTGAGAATCGTCTCAAAAAGCCCCGAACACGATTTGGCCCTTCTTTGCAGGAGCGACCACACTATTATTGACTACGGGACTTTTGGTTACTGGGGCGCCCTGATGTCCAAAGGGCACACCGTCTCTCTGGGCGTCCACAAGTACTTCAGCCACAGAATGGCCAAGCAAGCGAACTGGACAATATTTTAAATTTTATGCACTTGTCGGCAAAAGCTAATAAAGAAAAATTGCATTTCAAGTGGTTTTAAATTTTGTTATCCTCAGGAAAAATTTTAAAAAAATTCTCCATATAAAGGATTTTTATTTAAATTATGTAAATTCAGTCAGTTTCAAATTTGAAACAATTTCAGAGGAGCAAAAACAGATATCATGTGACATCACTTCCTGCACACGCTAGTGTTCACTGAATGTTGGGAAAGCGGCCGCATTTTCCTCCTGTACTGTTTGAAATGAGCAGTGACCTGAATTTCCTTGCCTCCGAAAAAAATGATGCTTGACGGAAAATTGAAACAATATTTATTTAATCTACTAACTAAAGTTTCCAGTATGCCGTACAGATAAATTTAAAAACGTTCATTTTCAATCTCAAATATTTTATTTGAAAAATTGTAAGTAAATTTTTATTTTAATAGTCCATAAAATAATTTTAAAAATTTAGGATTGTTTTCTATTGCAGTACTATAAAGATAATGCTTCACGGTCACAAACTGATCAGTAGAAAAATCAAATTTATTTGTGTGTGTGGAGGAATTCTGCTTGTCACAATTATTTCACAATTGCACAAAAAAGGTTAAAAATTTTCATATTTTATAATTTCCGAAATTTATTTAGAAATTAGGATTGAGTTTTTCATCCACCTGCAGTCTAAAGGCAACTAACCGTGGGCCGCACCAGTTCGTCGTTTCCTTCTCCTATTTTGGCGAAAATGATTCCGAGGCAAAGGGATATTTTGAAGGAATTTCTGCCAATGCCCATCTCGTCCAGAAATTTTACCCCGGCTGGGTGATACGTGTTTATCACGACATTAGCCAGAGAGGAACACGAAAAGATGATTTGGACAAATTGGAGGAAAAATTCGGCGACTGGGTCGATTTTTGTTTCGTGGGAGAAGTGCCTGGATTTGGAAACTTACTGAGCAAGTTTAACAAGAAAAAATTATTATAAAATTAATTGTTAAAAAAAAAAATTAAATTTTTGCAGGGGCGCAACAAAATATGTGGCGGTACCTGACGTTGTCAGATCCACTTGTGGACTTTTCGCTTTTTCGCGATCTTGACAGTTTCATTAATGATCGAGAGGAGAAAGCAGTTCGTCAATGGCTAGCTGGGAATTACGCTTTACACATAATGAGGGACAATCCATACCATGGCACCGAAATTCTTGGTAAAAATTTGAAATCTAAAAATAAAATAAATATTTTAAAGTTATTTTATTATCAAGGATTTAAAAAATTCTGTTTAATAGGCGGAATGTGGGGTGCTCGAATGGATTTAGGGCACAGAAAAATTTGGAGCGACTCGCTCATCAACATGTTAAAATATGGTAGGGAAGCTGGCGAACTAAAAATGGACCAGGAAGCACTCGGCATGTTTATTTGGCCACACGCAGTGAACATCAAAGGTTTTACTCAATTATTTATTTATTTATTCTCCACTCGATACAGTCATGTCATGAATACAGCAAAAAAAAACTATACAGAAAAAGTACAGAAAAAGCTGAAAATACATTTTAAAAGAGACATACTGTTAATATTTTTTCCAATTATTGTTAAAATTTTGTAGGTTTTGCGCTTCAACATGACAGCTACTTTTGTGAAAATCCTGATTTTCAACTCGCTGGCAAAATTTTGCCCTTTCCGACCTGCAGAAATGAATCTGAGGTTCTAAATTTTGTTGGATCTCGGCGGCATGTAGACAAAGAGCCAATGACAAACAAGTGCCCAGAGGCGTGCAGACTGAATAAAAATTGCACTTTTTGCTGATATTCGCCTAGCTAAATTTTTAAATTTATTATTTTTTTTATAGCAAAAAAATTATATAAGAGTATTTAAAATATTTTAATAAATAATTAAAAAATAATTTTGACAACTTCATAAAAAAAATTATTTTATAAGTTCTTATTTTATGATTATCTGCCTAATCACGGTAGCAAATTAGCGATTACAAAAAAAAATAATAATAATAAACATAATCAAAACAGTACAAACTGAACACTGAACAGTAAAAATTATAAAATTTATTTCTAAATTTCCAGAAAAACCCAAAAACCCAATTTCACTTTACTTTTCAATCTTTGTCTTTACCTTTTTCACTTCTTTTTCAGTTTTTTAATAAACACGAGCGCAGAGCGCCTTGTACGCTCTAAACTTACAGTCATTAATTTTGCAAAATATTTCCTGAACCTGAAGAGTGTGTGCCAGTTTTTATATTTTAATTTTAATAATTATTATTATTATTTTTTATTACCTTTCATTCTGTCTGATTGTGGTCTGGTCTGAATATAATAGAAAATAATTTTTCCATATAAATCTTTTTTCAGATGCAGGGAAACATCAGAAAATGCCTTAAACTACAGAACAGTTTTTTAATTTTCACAATGTAAATTATGAGTTGAAATTTTTAATTAGTTTTATTTGTAATGAAAGTCTGAAATGCTTTTGTACCTTCCTTGGCCCCCCACGTCGCAAAATGCGTGCAAAGTTGAAATGCCTTTCTCTCTAAAAAAAATATTTGTGCCGACCATGATAGTGAAAAATAAATAAATCATAGAAAAATCTCCCACTTCCCAACATTTACCCTTAACAAATGCAACAAACGTACATTTTGTATTGTTGGCATTAACAACAGTACGCCCGAGTTTTAATGAGAAAAAGTCATATAATATAATTGCTGTTATAAAATACCTGACTTTGCAATTCAAGAGATGTCACACGCCTATTCTCTCGTCAATTGTCAGAAGTGCTTCACACGTAGCTACTCCACGTCAAGTTCACTTTTTCACACGATGCATATTTAAGTTGAAAAGAGGCTTTTTCAGTGAACTTATTTTATCAAATCGTTGTCGAAGGTAAATAAAAATCCAAAATTAATAATCTTTCTCTTTCTAAATTTGTAAAAAGTAATTTTTGAGGTAAAATATGGCAATCCTAAACGTTGACATGTTGAAAATTATTTGAACTTTTGCCTTTTTGCAGTGAACTACTGTTGTATAACGCTTTTGCAGAAATGATGAGGAAAATTTTTGCAATAGTCATTGCCGGCGTGATTTTCCTAGTCGCCAGCAACTTCTTCCTTGTACACAACACCACTGTTTTGTTCCTGCCAAAAGGTAAAATACATTCAAATAATTTTTTCCAGAAGAAAATTAAAAGTTATCGAAATAAATAAATACCAAAAATTGAAATCGTACCGACCTCATTGGAAAAAATTTTGTTTTTCATTCTAAAATTAATTTTAAGTATAATTCTATTTTTGCAATAATTAGAAGAAAAAAACAACACATGAATAAAAATGATGTAATTTTATTCAATGCCCTATTTTTGGTTGAGAAAATACTACCACACAGTTATTGCTAATTTTCATCTCTAACAAACACACTATACTAAGCTATTAGGGAAAATTTACTTTGCTCTAAGTAATTGTTCAAAAGTGGCTTGAGGCTGGGACGATAATTTATTTCTTCATTTATTCTATTAAATAAATTCTTGCAACAAATTTAGTATTAAATTTGTTAAAATATTAAAATTACCCAAACCGCAAAAAGCGGGATTTTCTGAACATTGCCCATGCTAAATTTTTGTGACAATTTTATACATTTGACCTTAAATTTGAAATTTAGCGGAAGCCGTACAGGGTCATCATCTTTATCCCTGCCCCAAGATTCCGATAGTGACCATCGAGGACGGCGGTCGGCTCGGAAACAAAATCTGGGAATACGCGGCCGTGTGGAGCGTCGCCAGATTGATGGGCCGCCCTGGCTTTGTCCCTCGCTCCCTTAAGACCACCCTGAGCCGCACCTTTGGCAATCTGAGTCTGCCCACCCTGGAGGAGATTGGGCACTGCGACCTGCAACTCAACTACAACAAGTCGATCAGCGCCCTCAGCATCTTGCCGCTGACCGAAACCAGGTCTCGCTTTCAGGGTCGCAACATGCTACTGCACAGGTACGAAATGTTCCTGGAGCCGGCCCTGATGTACCGAGACCTGCTGAAACTGGAATTCAGTTTCAAGCCGGAGATTGTGCGTCAGGTCAAAGAGACCTTTGCGAAATTTGGCGAGGGAAAAACCCTTGTCGGGGTTCACGTCCGTAGAACTGATTTCAAGGAATTCCTGCCCGTTTATTTGAAGACCACCCTGGTTAACGACGATTTCTACAAAGTATTAATTACAATAATTAATAATTTTTCGATTTTATTCAATAAACGCATAATTTTAGAATGCGATGCAGTGGTACCGCGAAAATGTAAAAGGCCCGATATTATTTCTGGTCGTCAGTGATGATATCAGTTGGTGCGAAACGAACCTTCGTTTTGAGGATGTCAGGGTGGTGACCAACAGTAGCCCTGCGCACGATTTGGCCCTTCTCTGCATGAGCGACCATACCATCGTCGACTACGGCACATTCGGGTTTTGGGGCGCGTTTATGTCCGAGGGACACACCGTTTCGCTGGGCGTCTACAAATCTTTCACAAAAACTATGGCCCAAGAAGCGAATTGGACCTTATTTTAACTCCACAGTCAAATAAGCGACAAAAACAGTAGTTTTTATTACCAAAGATGAAAGGAGCAATTGATTTAATAAAAGTATATAATATCAACACCACTAAATTTATTAAAGATTTAAACTTCTTAATTAATTTTCCTTTTTAAATGGGTGAGAAATCTACGAGCATCAAAAATTGTATATGGTAATTAATTTAATTGAATAAATAAATTTAAATCACAAGAATTATTGCTATGAACACTATGAATATTCCCAAATGTGGCGAAAATAAAAAAAATTTCTACCACTTTTACAAGAATTTATTGGAAAATAAATTGACCCCACGCTTGTAAGGTGCAAAAAACCATGTTTCGTTTTGATTTCATAATGAAAATGAATCAAAATAATTGTCAAAATTTAAATTTTGTTAAAAAAAATAGTGTTTAAATAAATATTTAATGAGAAAGTGAGAAGTGAATGGCTAAATGCATTTTTTCATAATTGCTGTGAACGCGTGCAGCTCATGCACTTAGCTGAAAATGTTTTGCAATATATCCACTAAATTCAAACAGTGTAAAATTATTTCTCTTTTCTCTCTTTCATTAATCGCAAATTTAATTTCATGAATATTTTAATCATTGCTTTCGCACTCTTATTTGAGTAATTTGGGTGGCCCTGAAAAGGGCCGATTTTCGAAGACTGATGTTTCGGGCGCTTATGCCTTCTTGTCGGTCTTCTTGGGGAGGAGGACGGCCTGGATGTTGGGCAGGACACCTCCCTGGGCGATGGTGACGCCGGAGAGCAGCTTGTTCAACTCCTCGTCGTTGCGGATGGCGAGCTGCAAGTGACGGGGGATGATTCTCGACTTCTTGTTGTCGCGGGCGGCGTTGCCGGCCAACTCGAGGACTTCAGCGGCCAAGTACTCCATGACGGCGGCCAGGTAGACGGGGGCGCCGGCACCGACGCGCTCGGCGTAGTTGCCCTTCCTCAGCAGACGGTGGATTCTGCCGACGGGGAACTGAAGTCCGGCACGGCTGGAGCGGGTCTTTGCCTTTCCCTTCACCTTTCCTCCCTTGCCACGTCCAGACATGTTGATGCTTGTTCTTGTTGCGACGAAACGAAACAGATGCCAGCCTAGGGCCGCCTCAGAGTATTTATACTCGAAGGGGGGAGTGCGGCGCGACAAAAAACCGCTGACGGAGTTCGCGGCTCCGAGCCAATGGAAGTTGCGGAGAGAGGAGAGTGGCTCGCGCGCCGCTCCGCCGCCGCCGAATAAATACGGGGCCCTTTCACTGGGGCAGCATTAGATCTGTTTGGTCTGAACCGCACTCAACATGCCACCCAAAACCTCCGGAAAGGCCGCCAAGAAGTCTGGCAAGGCCCAGAAGAACATCAGCAAGTCTGACAAGAAGGGCAAGAGGAAGCGCAGGAAGGAGTCGTACGCCATCTACATCTACAAGGTGTTGAAGCAGGTCCACCCCGACACCGGCGTCTCGAGCAAGGCCATGAGCATCATGAACTCGTTCGTCAACGACATCTTCGAGCGCATCGCCTCCGAGGCCAGCCGTCTCGCCCACTACAACAAGCGCTCCACCATCACCTCCCGGGAGATCCAGACCGCCGTCCGTCTCCTCCTGCCCGGAGAGTTGGCCAAGCACGCCGTGTCTGAGGGCACCAAGGCCGTCACCAAGTACACCAGCTCCAAGTAAGCTGTTCAGCAGCAAACTTGAGGCGAAAATCGGCCCTTTTCAGGGCCACCCAAAACACTCAAGTAAAGCCACTAAGCAATGATGAAAATTATAATTAATCTTAAACAGCTCAATTGATTCTTATGTTCAAAGTGCTTTTAAAAATGATTTTTGGAATATCCAAACTCCAAACTAAAAAGTCTAAAAACTATGCTATAGTAACGATTCCCTCTCTCGCTAATGTTTTGTAATATTAAAATTAATTATTTTAATATTTATTAACCAAAGATATAATATCTGTTGCGATATTTTCAGTTACCTGTAATATTACGTCAGCGTCACAAGAGCAGAGCATTCAAGTCTCAATTCTCAATTACTAAATTTTCCTCTAGAATGCTCAGGCAATTTCAAAACTGTGAGGGAAAAAGTTGGATTTGTATGATATAATTTTTTAAGCATGATAGGTTTTGCTTAATCTTAATATCGTCAAATAATATTAATAGTTTTCATTGATAGAAATTAGCAACAGCCACAATACTCCTTTCAACCTGGACCTTTGCTAACTAAGAGGGAAAGACAACTTCATCTGAGGGTGTCGTTTTTTGTCGCTTAAAGATTTTGCTTAAAGAGATTTTTATGCATCTTTATAAACCTTTCCGACTTATTTCCAATAACTAAAAATCTGGGCTTATAAAATAAAAATTTTTAAGTTTAATACAAAACTCGTAAATCATATGTGAAGTAAAATACTATTGTTGCGCTGTGCTTACTTATTATTGGCATCGTCATTATCAAGCGTTCGTGTAAAATGGCCTGTCTCTGCGGGGCAACGCGTGATCACTTGCCGAATAAAATGTACCGCGACCGCGACGTGCTATAGCTACTTTTTTCTGCTTTGACAGTGACAACTTCTTACAAAAGGATAATTTCAATCATTTCTGATATTTTCTTCCATTCTTGATACATAACAATGAAAATTCACATATAGTGATAAAAAAAAAAACAGGAACTGCAATAACGGCATAGTTATTTTGCATATTTATATTTATTGGTTTTGATGTGAAGGATTGAAAATAAATTAGATTTTTAACATTATTTTGTTTCATCACACCTACAGTACAGATTTATATTTATACTCAAACAAATGAAACTCACGATGGCTAACAAATATACGCATGATTTTGGTAAAATAAAAGCTATACTTTTCTTTCAAATGGCATCACAAGCCCAAAGTTCCCGCCAAGAACAACCACACGTGTCAGAGAGGATAATATCACATCAGCTTTTGCCTCTCCTTTCACCGACTATCATGAGCGCAGCTGCCGAGAAAAAAATTATGCGTTCAGTCCCAGTTTTTTTTCCTTTCTTTTCTGTCTTTCAAATTTAAAAGATGCTTCTGTCTGTACTATTAAATTGGTACCCATCCAGCAATAAGTCTGCAGTTTTTCTTTCTCTTGGCCGGTTGACGTAAATAATTAAATTAATAAGAATGGCACAATCAGTGTATCAAAAATATGTATGTAATTATTATTTCATCCGACACTTCTTCCTGTCATAATTTATATCGTAGGTTCATTTTAAGAAACCTATCTTTCACCGGATAGTTGCATAGGAGGGTTGAAAATTAATTTGGATTTTAGAACATTTATTAATTTTTTTCTAGAATTATTAAAAAAGTTACACCGTGTTTCACTTTTGCAGTGGAAAACTTTATCTTGCTTTTTACTTCTGCTGTCGTTTTAACCAATGTTAAATTTATATCAGTCTCTTTAGTTTGTCTTTGCATATTGCTTTGTGGTTTTACTTGAGTATTTTGGTGGCCCTTAAAAGGGCCGATTTTTGGTGTTTGAGCTGTTTAGCTTAAGCACGCTCTCCGCGGATGCGGCGGGCCAGCTGGATGTCCTTGGGCATGATGGTGACGCGCTTGGCGTGGATGGCGCACAGGTTGGTGTCCTCGAAGAGGCCGACCAGGTAGGCCTCGCTGGCCTCCTGCAGGGCCATGACGGCGCTCGACTGGAAGCGCAGGTCGGTCTTGAAGTCCTGGGCGATTTCACGGACGAGGCGCTGGAAGGGCAGCTTGCGGATCAGCAGCTCGGTGCTCTTCTGGTAGCGACGAATCTCACGGAGGGCGACCGTGCCGGGTCTGTAGCGATGGGGCTTCTTGACCCCTCCGGTGGCGGGGGCGCTCTTGCGGGCTGCCTTGGTGGCCAGCTGCTTGCGAGGGGCCTTTCCTCCGGTCGACTTGCGGGCGGTTTGCTTCGTACGTGCCATGTTGAGACGAGTTGAAACGTGTCCAAACTCGTCGCGACCCCGCTATTTATCCTCTTTTTGGCTCCGCCCCTCGGCCGAGTTTGGCGCGCCTGCAGTCGGTTGGAGGGGGCTTTTTTTCCGTCGTTGCTTGCGCCGGCCGGTATAAGTAGAGGGGCACAATCCTAGGACATCATCAGTTTCATTCCAACTCTGAACAAGAATCAACATGACCGGACGTGGAAAGGGAGGCAAGGGACTCGGCAAGGGAGGCGCCAAGCGTCACCGCAAGGTTCTGCGTGACAACATCCAGGGCATCACCAAGCCGGCCATCCGCCGTCTGGCTCGCCGCGGCGGAGTCAAGCGTATCTCGGGCCTCATCTACGAGGAGACCCGCGGCGTGCTCAAGGTGTTCCTTGAGAACGTGATCCGCGACGCCGTCACCTACACCGAGCACGCCAAGAGGAAGACCGTCACCGCCATGGACGTCGTCTACGCCCTCAAGAGGCAGGGACGCACCCTCTACGGCTTCGGCGGCTAAGCTGTTCACCACCAACACGCAACAGCAAAAAATCGGCCCTTTTAAGGGCCACCCAAAACTATCTAATAAGAGCGCATAAGCAATGAAACACAAAAACTTAATATTATAGAAGATTAAATTGAAAATTTAGTTTAAATTAAATTTAATCTATCCCATATTAAAAATTACTTGTCATCACTAAGGACGAAAATTTAGTAATACAATCTGCATTTCACCATCCACGCTCACTAAATTGTTTTTTCTCTTTGCTATGGCTTGATGGAGATGAATTCCTGTCCCAATTCAGGGTTCTTCAAGAAATTAATAGAAATTTTTCGTTTTTTTTTTCTTTGTCCCATCTATTTCTTCATGCGCTGAACCTTCTAAATATTCTGCTTTCTTTAATTTCGTTAAATTTTCACTGCTGAAATTGTGCCAGGGTAAAAAAAATCCAGAAAGTGGGTTTGGTGTTTCGCTGCTGATTTGATCAATATTAACCCGATTTTTTTTCAATTAATATTGCATTTATATACGTTATATGTTAGTTAATTACATTTTTATTTACAGAATAAATAATACAGGCCACAAAGCTGCAGCAAAAATTTTCTGATTGAATAATATTTCTGATCACAAGATAATTGTTTTTTATCGACAAATTGACAAAAAGGCACTGCATTTGTTTCAATACTTTTCAGAAAAATAATTCTCAAGGACTATTCAATTGATTTTTTTTCGTGCTCAAAAGTGTGCTGGAGGTTCTCTTATCTTGATCGCCAACTGTACGTTCGGAATGTGTTAAATGGAAGATTTGCAGACCTCAGTGACCAACACCTCCGTGGGTCACGTTGATGGGATTGCCCTGAAATTGTCAAGCTTAACATGAATATTCTGATTTCTAATTAAATTAGTTACCCATTCTCTAGCGATGAGCAACAGGGTGTGGTTCGACAGCCTGGGGCCGATTAGAGGGTTCATCTGGGACATGTAGCAGCAAAGCCAACTGGAGATTAGAGAAAATAATGAATTATTTTATCCGATTGATTTCCACGGGAATCTTACAAGAGCCAACATGTTGCACCAGTCAGCATCAAAACCACCTGGGTTACTCTGAAAATATAAATTATTTGCATATTCTTAATAGAGGGGGATTAATTAAGATTTGCGAAAAAAATTAAGAAACATGAAAAAATAAATAACTCATAACTTTGACGCCTTATTTTGACCATAAGGCCATTGCCGAAGATTAAATGGGTTGAACATATTTACCCTCTGTTCGGCCCTTTGGGCACGACGAAGGGCAGGACGATGCCCACAACACCCCAAAAGACAGTCATCACGGCTATAGGAGCGATCTGGACGCCCATCGTTGACAAATTTGGCTGGAATTCAACAAAATAAGATGAAATTTGGTTTCCTCAAACAATCAGGAATCTCGGATCATATGACTTGTTGCTTTTCCGCAAGTTCCGATTTGCGTCACCCAGGTGGCAGTTTGCGAGCATCTTGCGAGACACCTAGCGGCGGACAACGAACTACCAATGTCAACAACGATGGCTGCGAAAAGATGTGCGAATTTTCTGGGTCCGATTTTCGCTAATTATTAAGGTAAATTGATGCATTTTTAAGAGATAATTAATCCGATCGAATCGCTTTTTATATTTAGACAGAGTGCGATGGCGAACGCAATGACTCCTGAGGAGGAAGACTTCCCAGGTCGACTTCTCCACCAGGTAGGTGTTCAGTGTTCAGTGGCCGTGAATGATCTCACGACGGTGTCAGTTGTCGAGTGTAAAAGAAAACCACAGTAATTTTCCCCTTTGACAAGTGATTTGCAAATGATCAGAAAATGAAAATATGATATTTTTTATGCTTTCCTTCAAGCATGCGGAATTATTATTTCTTGCATAAAAATAAAATTAAAATAAGTGCGCATTCAAAAATTGCCCCACATGCTCGACCTTGCGTGGGAACACACACTCACCATATTAATGAAATCCATGACACAATTTGATAAAACACTGGAGACGGAGGGTCAAAAGTTGAGAATCTTATCTTTGGGAATTTTCGTTTGTAGGCCGCGTTGTGGGACAACGCTGAGCTTCTGGAGGATTTGCTGCACGGCGAGCAAAAGGCACACATTGACAGTCGAGATTCCTGGGGCCGGACTCCTCTGCACGCCGCCGCGCTGACCGAAAACTCACGCTGTCTGAAAGTCCTTCTCGCAGCCGGAGGTGACTTCAAAAATATTACTTCATTCAAACACTAATAATCTTAATTTTTTGCTGCAGCCAATCCAAATATTTCTTGCGGACCCAGGGGAGAATATAAGGTGAGATAAAATAAGCCATTTTTATTTGCCAGGCAATTTTAGTGCATATCTGGGCTATATTTACTTTTCTAAAGAGATTATAATTGAAATAAATTGAGATTTAAATGACATTCATTAGAAAGTCTAGGTTTTTTTTTGCACGATGATAATATTTGATTTTAAACTTTTCAAGTGTGAAATAATTTTGATTGAAAATAAGGTTTTGGCCGACTATCAATATTGTCGTTGAGAATTTATATCCACATTTAATCAAAATAAAAATTCAAATAATAAAAATACCTAATTTCTCAGCTTTATTATTTCTTGAAAGAAAAGAAATTATTCCTGCAACACGGATTCTAAAATTTTAAGCCGTAGCAGGATCTTTAATTCATTTTTAATTCAGAGTGAATTAATTTTAATATTTTCTAGACTCCCCTTCATGTGAGCAGTGAGCACGGCTGCGCCACAAATGTGCAGGCTTTGCTTGAGCACGGGTCGAACCTGACGGCCCAGGACGTTAACGGACTGACAGCCCTCGATTTGGCCGAGGCTGGTGACCATTCTGACACCCTGAAGCAACTCAAGGAGGCTGCTGGTGAGTACAAACAACCCCATTTTTAAACTTTTTGTGCGAAATGATGGAGTTTGAGAGGAGCTGAAAAAACACGTGACATATTATGCGGTTTAGTTGACAGAAGTGAGTCACCCCACAGGGGAAGGGGAAACCTGAGAGCAAAACAAAAAAACGGTTTGCTCTACTCAAAAGAATGTGTTGCGGAAAAATGAATGGAGGCAGTTTATTTACCAGAAATTGTGATATTTTTTTATTTTCCATTGTTATACAATCAAATTAAATTGCCAATTTTTTGGAAATTTAAAATATTTAAGCAATCAAAACAGTATTTAAAATTAATGTTTGTATCAAATTTATTTTGATACTTTTTATGGAATTTTTAGGCCAGAAATACATAATTAAATGTAAAAAAGATGAAAAAATGTCAACTTTTTAATGATTAGACAAAATTAAGGTCAAATTTTTATATAATTAGGTCATTTTATACATACCTGTTAGTGCCTGTTAGGTTAACATATTATTTTAATTGCATGTGTACAAGAGTTCATATATTATATTTTCAATACATTTAATCTTTTTTTTTAATTTTTCTCTTGCTAAATTCTTTTTTTAACAATTATAAATATTATTAAATTTACTCATAACTTTTGGCCTAAGCAAAATGAGCAATCTTGACAAAAAAGTACCTGTAATCTCTAATCATTGAAAGGATCGACCTCCGATATTTTTAAAGTAACAGGAATTAAAGGCATCATGTGACTTTAATTTTAAAGGAAAGCAAGTTACTTTCTGAAAACGGCGAAGGAAAAAGGCAGGCAACCTTTTACTTTTGTAAAAATCTTGTAAAATCACTAATCGGCACAGAATGTGAGTGCACGGAAGGTTAATTTCGGATAAAAAATTGAATAACCCTGATGATCGCCTTGTGAATATTAAGTGCGTTAATCCAATAAAATCAAGTATTACTTAATTCGGAACGGAAGTGACCTTCAAACGGAGTGTAACCTTTTTTATAAAAAATTTATCAAAATTTCTTTATAATCCAGTTGATTTCGAAATCACAACCATTTCAAATTTCAGAGTTGAAAATTTTTGCCACTTTGGCAACACTTAACAGTAATTTTGCGCCAAACAGCAACGGTTGTGCGCGGAATGCCAGATTTTCCTTTCAATTGAATGCAAATCAACGCGTGAGAATTTCGCGCGACGGATCGTTTTAACTCTCGCGTTGCACCACGTGATCCGCTAAGGTCGGATGTCAAATATGGTGTAGCACCTCGGCTTTATTTAATGTGTTTATCCGCTTGTGCGTTTTAATGAGATGCGGTGTGGCTGCTGAGCTACCAGGAAGACACGTTATATAAAGTGCACACTTTTTGCTCGTGAGATTGACAGAGGAGAGCGCTGAAGGAAGTGGCGAGAAAAACGCGGTCGCTTTTCTGCAACTTTTCCCTTTCTGTCTCCACACTTTGCACAGCAAACATTTTGTGTCGCCCCATTTACAAAAAAAAAAAGGAATTAGATTATAATTTTTATTAATTTAAAGGTTTTGAATAAGAGAAGCATTAAAAAGTAAACAACCGATTTTATAATTTCCCGTCAATAATAAGATGTTTGAGCAATATTTCTGTATTTTCTATGAAACCTGAAAAACGTTTGCACAGCTTTTGTATAATAAAACTTCAATTAATGATTGATTTGATTTTTATATTTATAAATTTGCAGATTCAAATTGACAAATAATTTTTCTGCTGCTCAGGTAGTCGACCAAAAACCACTAATTCCAAGGAAAAATGAAGAATTAAATTATAAATGTAATAAATATCCAAAATTTTTGTAACGCTGCAGGAAACCGATTAAAATTGACTCGTCAAAAATGCCATGGCTTAAATTTAAAGACAGGAAACAAATTGTGCAATTAATGTCCCTATTTTTTTCGTTTCAAAACTGCTGGTATAGAAAAAAAACAATAACAACAACAATTTTTAACCCAAGATCATAGTAAAATACTTTTCAGATACAAATAAATAAGGAAGTAAAAATAAAAAAAAAGATTAGAACGAACTATAAATAACTGATCTTGATTCTTATCATCGTTATTTAATTTTTAAATACAACCAATATTCATCTTGATTGAGGTGCTGATTTATTAAAAATTTCATGAATAACTTTGCTAAAATTTAGGCGTAAGTATTCGAAAATTGTAATTTAATAATCTACACAAAATAATTTTCATTTTACTTCTCTAGAACTTTATTTCTAATAATAATTCAAATATTAATCAATTACCATCTTGTTTATTTTTATTTTAAATCTCAACAATCGCATTTAATTGAATTTATAAATTGTGAAAATCCCATGAGACCCATAAAAATGTAGTTTTCCGAAATTCAATCATGCTTTTTGTCTACCATCCCTTTCAATTGAATCGAATTTTTATTGTTTCCTCACCAATGGTACTATTAAACTGTTAACATTTCTGATTGGCTTACAACAATGATACCCCACAGATCCCTTCTATACAGTTTAAATTCTGATGTGATTTTGAGAAATTAATTTTTGTTTTTTATGGTTTCAAATCAAATTTTTCATCAAGCTGTGTGAAGTGCTTTTTCAAACTTTTGTGATCCAGAATGTGATACTTTGACATTTTTATCCAACTCTCTCTGAATAAAAATAGCCGCAGTACTGAAGCCCCAAAAGAACTCTTGGCATTTTCCTAAATGAAATTTCTCGGCAAGTAAAATAATTGTGCAAGAAGTAAAATTTTGCGTGAAAAATAAAATGCGAAATAGTTGAGATTATTTTCCAAATTCCCCTCTTAAATTTTCCTTCTTAAAATATTAATCTAAAAAAAGATAATAACAAACGCTGTGCTAGGGGTGGGGTTTGGCGAGTCGGAGGAAAGGGAAGTCCATCGTGTTGCTGCCGGTTCGCGGTCGGCGGCAAGTTTTCCAGTCACTCAGTCAGTTGTTGTTTGAAAGCGAAACAGATAGCCGAGCCACAGAGAGACACGCGAGAGGCGGCCAAAGGGGCCATGCAGAACCTGGTACACCGGCTGTGGCTGTCCAGCCTCGGCGAAGAGGTGGTCGACACCATCAACGCCGAACATGCATACGAAGCGTGCAATTACTTCATCGACGACCTCACCCTCAGCTATGCGGGACCAGGTCGGTCGTAATTTTATTTTAAAAAAATTTCAAAAATCTCTTACAATAAGTGCGAGTTGCACAAGAAAAACAGAGAGCTGCGTGGTTGTCAATAACCTGTCGCCGGCCGAGTTGGCAAACGATCTCGTAAAGAGATGCTGCAGCAAAGAGAGTGCTCGGTTCAATTAACATATCACGTTGGTTCAAATGATTTATGTTTCTTCTTTGTATGATTGCACCGGCTCAACGATTAGAAAGCTTGAAGTTTTACTAATGGGAACTGATCAAAGATTAATTATCCCGATTAACATACTTGACAACTTGACATATTCTTTACAAAAAAACTAACTAATTTTTGTTTGAAGTATCTTTGACTGAGATGTACGGTTAAACCTAAAAATCTGAATAAATCATATCTAGATTTTATAGGCTGGATTTTATTATCAGTTTTTGAAGGATTTCAATGAAATGAAAGTATTTTAAATCAGACAAGTTATTGTTGAGTTATTCCATATTTTTATTGATTTTTATAATATATTTGTACAAATTTTTTTATTTTAGATAATTATAAAATGAAACTGAAAGACCAATTTTCATTTATTTTGTAATAATTTTTCTTAAAATATGTAGGAAAACCAAAATAACATTTTATTTTTAAATTTCAAGTTCATTGATAGACAGGAATTTTCTATTAAAATTCATCAATTTAAAAAATAAGATAGACAAGCAAACGCGAAATTGGCAACAAAAATTAAAGTATGTTAATTATTCAAAATCCTACTCGCAGCTAAGATGATACAAATACAAAAATGACAAAAATTATTTCTAATGACTTGAAATTAATTATCATGTAAAAAGATTAATTTTAATTTGTTATTTCTCTAATGGCTGAAATATCATTTATGCGATATTCTCTAACTCTTTGGATGAAAGTATAGTCAAATTTTTACACAAATTGAATTAATTTATTCTCTCGCAATAAGTCATGCAGAAAATGGAGAATTGGCAGCCAGCTTTATATTAAGCAACTTCTTACTAAAACTCGTAGGACCAATTTGGATGCGAAAGGGTTTTTATATTTTAAATTCGGAGCCAACAATATATTATGGAATAATTGTGACAAATTCGAAAGTTCTGTGTTTTAAAAATAGAAGCAAAGAGTTATTTCTGACCCAAAGTAAAAAAAAAACTGTCCAGTTTAGCGAGTTTAATTTTTTTGCGGTCAGCAATCCACTCTAAATTTTACTTTGCTACTGGCTTACGTATGTTAGGATTAAAAATATTTGCACTATTTCTTAATTATTAAATTTATTATTAAATATTTAGGTTATTGTTTTATGTCCGGTTAATTTATCAACATTTATTCATTTGTATAATTAGAAATTCAATCCTTTCCATTGAAATAGTCCACATATTAATCTTCCCAAATATACCCTGCTATAAATTCGCTCATCAAAATTAACAAGTTAGCGGGTTAACTTTTACACAACATGAAAGTATAACAATTTTAGAATGTGAGATAATCCCGTTATTTTCATTTTAATTCTTGTCGATTAATGTGATAATTTTGCTAGTAAACTTTCAATGGAATATAAATTTTAGCAAAATATTTTACACCTAATCAATGAACCCAAATATTTCCAATCAAAAGCCAAAATATTTCTTTAATATTTGTTGAAAATGAAGAATCGTGTATGTAAATATATAAAATATTGATAAAAAAATTACCCTAATTAACTATAAGAAAATATTATTAAGCGCTACTTTAAAGCTATTTTAATAATTTTATTTTAAAGCAATTGTAATAACTCCTTTCTGAATTTTACACATGAATTCAACATGTAATTAAATAATTGTAAGCTGGTTGAAAGACTTGGAAGCATTCATGATGCTTTCACTATCACATTTAATTTTAGGTAATAATGCGTCTAAAAATAAACATGGAGAGTTTTACGTCAGCTTCCATGTAAGAAAATTGTCTTAAAAACAATGTGTTTGACATGGCTGAAGTAAAAATTGAATTTCTTTTTAAAGGCAAGACGCAAATAAAGTTGGATCAAATCATGTGATGTGGAAAAGGATCTTGCAAAAGGCTAGCGCGAAAGTTAAAATTGAACAAAAAATATTATATTGCCTGGTGTAATAATAATTATCTCAGGGACTATTTTCGTCCTTTTTGCAGGTGCTGAATGTTTAATTGGTGAGATAATAACGAGTTTGGCCTACGTGCAAAATGTAAATTCGTCTTATTTTTAGGCAGGGTGCGTATCGCAATCCTTAAAATACACCCAATCTCATGTGACTCTCAGAGCCAAACCCTGAGAATTTCGACAACGTCGTCGATCAGCGATTTTTTTTAGATAAGAACCTGCGACATTTGAATATTTTCACCAGGGTAATTGCGCCAAAAATAAACCGTCCACTTCAAGGCTGATTGCCAAATTAAATTTGATCGTGCATAAATACAAGTTGGCAAAAAGGAATTCGGTGTATAATTGAGCAAGTAGATAAATACTCGAGCGGAAAGTTGTTTTACAATCAAACAAACAGGTTCCGCAACTATCTGCAAGACGAGCCCTCGGACGCTCAAAATAAACGATCAGTTTCAATTGAACACTACAGCGTATATTTATCAGATTATGTGTACGCACTGTTTGTTTTACTTCGGTTTGTATTATTGTTTTACCAGGACAATTTATCATGTGGAGACAGTTCTTTTTAACACGATTTTCATGCAACCTAGAAAAAGGTCCAACAAATTGTTTTTAAAAATAATAATAATGATGATTTTTCAATAGTTTGATGGGCTCTAACGATTTTTTTTAATTTGTTTTATATTACAATAGATTTTAATTTTGTCAAAAACATCTTGGATTTCCAAAACCTTAGAAATGTAAAATTACAAAATAAATGAAATGATAATTAAATTATTATTCCCTGACAAAGCCACAATACTTCCTTTGGTTAAATTTTATTTTATATCATTGCAAGAAAACCTTGTAACGCACACTGCGATCTGCAAACCGAGGATTCTTACAATTAAATAATAATGCACATAATGATGATGATAATAATGCCCGCAGTTTATTTTATAACACAAATCGATATAGCTAACTAAGATAAAATGATAAATGAGATCCTTTTTCTTAAACTCAATTAATTTGTTATCATACGCTCCTTAAACAACAAGTTTGGTCAAATTTCTTTATATTTACTTGATTTTCTAACATATTTGAACAGAATTAAAAATTTGTGACTTATATAGGCTACTTTTTTTCAAAATTTCCAGGCCCTTTTTAGTGTTTTTCATTATTTTATTACTTTACCAAGTAAAGGCGTAAAACTTTCCACCGTGAAAAGTTATATTAATTTTCGTGTGTAAATAGAAACTTTTCTTATTTGCTTATTTTTTCCTAAAGTTGAGGATCAAGACAGAAGAGAAAAGACAACAAGAATTTCGTTAGGAAGTAAAATTTATCGTTGTCACTACTGGATCTTCATCTGCTTTCGAGGCCAAGTAGTGTGTCGAATGAGTTGGCTAGTTTTGTGAGCACACAATTTATGCGCCTCGTTTTAGGTGTTATATAATATTCCGGTTTTCTGCACACAAAAACACCATCAGGGACCGCGATGCCACGACCGCAGGACGTTTATAATTTTTTTTTCTTTTTGCACAAAGAAAACCGCAAAGCTGCATTTGTCTGTGCACTATCAAGGCAGTCTTGCTGATGCAACCATAAATAATAATATAATGTATGCAATGAAATTGCTTCTCATAAAAAATATAAAAAATTGCATTGCGTAACGATATCGTAAGCTTTTTTTCAAGTTCAGGACTTGTATTGATTATATTTTCGCCATTCGATTTGTAAAAAATTATTTGTTGCTGCTGGGAATGTCAACGATCGAGACGAAAAGTATAATCTTGTTACTTATCCTTCCGAATAAAAAAATTCTTGTTCATCCACTCCATTTTGAGGCTTCCCAGCTAATTTCCATCAAGTTCAATGTGCTTGAATTTAATGTTAACAAAATTCCAAATTATTGTCGGGCCAAGGTTATAGAATCGGTTGCTTTAAATTCAGACCTCACGCTAAATTCTCAGACGGCTCTTGCAATGCATGTATAAATTATTCATCTCTTTGTTCGTTGCCAAAATCTTTTTTCTTCAACTCCTCGTTTCGGATGCAGCAGCGGATGTGCAATAAAAAAATTGAAGTTGTCTTTTGTCTGTCACGAAACTGGCAGCTTATTTTCAGCACTGGTCACATGATTGAAATAAGAATTAATAAAATTTACACTTGTCAAAAGTTGTTGTTGAAATGAGAGGTAATGAATTTAAATGGATATTTGACGTATTGAGAAAATAATAAATATTGTTGCTTTAAATATTTTCCATTCCATTTATTATCATTTGTAAAATAAGTTACCATTACATTTTTTTAAATATCTTTATAATGATTTAATTTTTTTACATTAAATTTTCGCCTTTTTTAATAAAAGATCGTTTTGGGTAAAAATATTTTGTTCAAATAATAAATTTATTGTAAAAATATTGCCCTTGTCCTCCCAAGAGCTCTACTTTTAATCAGATTAACCACTCCATCAATTTGCATCAATTCAAATTACGTCTTTATTTCCAGACCAAATTAGTCTGAGAGTGTTCTTATCGGGTCTTATGATGAATTAAGAACGCGTTAAGCTTTTGCATCCTTGAAAGTTTGGCCACGTGTGAAGGGAACCTGTTAGTCGGACACGCACACGCACAATTCGCCATCCAGCAGCAAGCTGATTTTTCGCGCGACCACTTTTGCTCGGCACACGATCACTTCTAGGGGTTGCCGCGCCTATACCGTGGAATGTCCTGATTACAAGGGCAATAATTATTTTGTCTGTCACGAACCACTCGGAAAACGGAGGAAAAAGAGTATTTGGAGACATCACGTTGAATATCACGGGCTTGGCAATTAGCAAAAAGGTTAAGAGAGAAAAGCCGCTTGTGAAAATCGCACAAATTTGAGGGGCTGCCTTTTTACCAGTATAAAAAGTGGTTTGTGCCACTTTGTCACTTTTCAGCATTAAATCGAGCTGAAAATTATTGGTGATTTTATTTTATCTTCACTTAAAATAGAAAACAAGTTCTTCTCTCGCAAGACTATGGCATTGATTTGCATGTGGCCATTTTGAAATTCTTAATGAACAGGTTTAAGGATGTGGAATTTGAGTTTAACAGGTGCATGAACCAAACTTGAAAAAGGCCACATTAATACAAAATCAATAAAACCTGTTAACTTAAATCATTGGCCACATTCCAAACAAGGTTACAGGTTCAGTTATATGAACTCTATAAAGTTGAAATCTTAAAAAGTTGAAGAAAAAAAAATTTGCTATTGGCATTTTATTTTTGTATACAAATTTTTTTATTTTTATTACCAGAAATTAAATATTTTGTAATTTCCAAACTAAGTTGTTTATTTTCGTGTGATTTCAGATGAAAAGGAGCAGCGACGCCACGAGCAACACAGCTCCCTTCGGGAAGCCTGCAGCCGTGGAGACACGGAGGCCGTTCGGAAAATCGTTGAGAACCTCGCTGAAGAGGCAGAACTTGTGATAAACATGGCACCTAGTGGCAGCAACACTCTGCTATTCACGTAAGTTTATTACTACGGAACTTGCCAACCAGTTTTCTATATACGTCGTACTTATCTTCATAATTGATTTTAACTAATTTGTTCTCACGAGACTTGTTCGAGTAAAGAAATCCACTGTGTTGAAATTGTTGGCAGCGTTATGAAATTTTCTCCGTCTGATTTAATAACCTGTATTTTTGCACAAAATGCAAAGTTATAGTGAAGGTTGACATTATTATAAAACTAGAAGAAGAAAAAAAATGATAAAAACCAGTTTTAATTTAATTTTAAGCAATTTGATCAAAGCAAAATAAATTTTAATGGAAATCTTTTTGTTAATTAGAGCATGTGAAGTCGGACAAAAAGAAATAGTCAAAATATTACTCGAGAATGAGGCAGATGGGCGAATCCACCCTGTAACCAAATACTCACCCCTTTACATCGCGTGCTATTACGGCCGGAAGGATATCGTGGAGCTTCTTTTAAAGGTATGGCATGTAACGTTATAAAAACTTAAAAGAAGCATTACTTTTAATTCAATTTATCTCAAAAAAAAATTTTTTGCCAAAAGTTGTTATATTTTTTATATATTCAAAATAACTTTTGTTTTATTCAGTTTTAATTATAAAATGAATCATTTATTTCAAAATATCATAATTGAGTAATTTAATTATAAAAAAAATTGTCAATGATTGATTTTTTCCCAGAAATTTCCTGAGTTGGTCCAACAGCAGACGGTGGAGAAGTGGCTGCCAGTGCACGCATGTTGCATAAACGGTCATGTGGCAGTGCTGGAGTTGCTCTTAAAATTCAGCTACCCTTCAAAGGTGATGTGCACCCTGCGCGACAAGTCGGCCGAGTGGGAGTACGAGATGCCCTTTGACCTGAACGCGCGAGACGTGACCGGACAGAGCGTTTTGTACCTGGCCTGCTATGTCGGCAACCAGAAGCTCGTCGACTGCCTGCTCAAGTTCAGGGTCAAAGCGAACAGAATCAATGTGAGGAAATCATACCATTCTACTTCCCCGTAAACAGGCCGACGCTCTTCTTTTCCAATCGATTGATTGAAACCCGACGCGGCATGGTTAGCCGTGTTTATCTCGGTCGGCGCGGTTGCGAAAGTAAAAGACACAATCGAAGCGTTCGCGAATCTTCTCCGGGCACTGAATGCATGAGTGGGTTCCAATCTGTCTGTCACAGACGTGCAGTCAGATTGGCCATCTAGAAAGTTGCCATTTAGCGTGAATTGAAAAGGAATTGATTAAAGTCAATTAACTGGAAAATTGCATAAAAAAAATGCATACCTGTAAATAATTTTTATTTTTATTTTATTCTGTTTCAAAATTAGAAAATTAGAGATTTTCAATCATGCTCCAAAAGATGTAAACAGTTTAAAAAATAATAATATAAACCAATAATTACAAAAATAAGACCTACTTTAATTCTGAATTAATATTGCAACGTTTTGAATTTTATTTAAAATTATTATTTTTCTCCAATAATCAAAACTTCTTAACATTAAAAGCCTCAAAAGACTATCAAAAATTGTAGAGTCTGAAGTTAAATATTTTTATTTTTTTATTTTAGGCTTTGAGGATGAAAAAAGAGGAAGAAGAGCAGAAGGTGAACGACCTGCTAAGTCCGACTCGGCGCCGAATTTCAAACGGAATTCAGTCGATAATGTCTAAACTGAATCTGAGCAGACAGGAGGTCACTTCCAGCAATGAGAGTGAACTTAGTCCCCTTTTGATGGACCTTTACTGCAACAACAACACGGAAACGGCGCTGCATGTGGCGGTCAAGTGCAAGCACCACAACATAATTTCAGCCCTTCTTGCTGCTGGCGCCAATCCAAACCTCCCAATTTTGGCCAACGAGGAAGAATTGAGCAGGGATGAAGGTCTGGTGGCCTGCAATGGCTCGAGTGCCCTTTTGGAGGCCTGTCGGAACCGCGACCTTACGGCCCTGGATTTGCTGCTCAAGTTTGGAGCGCGAGATGATGAGTGTCGAGCCCTCGAAGTAGCCCACAAGGATGAAATCATGAGTGCCAAGCTCCTTGCCACCAAGGCCCACCCTGACCCAGAGTACAAGATTAACAAAAAGGCAATGGCCGAGGTCAGTCCGTCGCAGTTTGCCTCGGCTTCCAGTCTGGGCAGCCTCACCTACGGCTCTCTTTTCCCGAACACGGCAGTCATGATAAACTGGCATGGCCAGCAATGCTTGAGCCACGTCAAACCTCAATGGTTAGTGGACGCCGCCCTCACTGTCAACCCGAGGCTCAAACTCAACCCTAAGCACCAAGACGTTGTTCTCTACTCCATCACTAGACTGGACATTTCAAGGAATTCTTTGACTTCGGTGCCAATCGCCGTCTTCCAACTCCAGAGTTTGCGGTACCTCAACTTGTCGCAAAACAAGTTGGAGCGGTTGCCTTCCAATGAGGAGAGGTCTTTGGTGCCTGTGGGAAGGGGCAAGACTAAAGGTGAGGCCGTTGGCTACTTGGCGCCGGTGCTTGAAGAGGTCCACCTGCAGTACAACCGCCTTGAGCAGATTCCTGAGGAGATTTTCAAACTGCCTTCTCTCGTCTCCCTTGACGTCTCCAACAATAAGTTGCAGTCGCTGCCCTACCTCATGTGGAAGTCTGCTAAGCTCAAGGAGCTCAATGCGTCGTTTAACCTCTTAAGAGAGCTGCCCACCCACCAACAGGGTATTACTTTGGGCATTGACGCCACCAGCCTTAGTAGCGAGCAGATCATGGTAAGATCTGACAGCTTTTCCAGCCAGAGCTCTCTTGGGGTAAGTTTTTTTCAAAGTGTTTTTTTTTTTAGATTTTGTTTGGCAGAAGCTAAATAGATTTTTTTTCAAATATTTCGATTTTTATTTTTATAGGAGACAAAACTGAAACTGTTAAACAAAATTTTTAATTAAAGAAACTCACAAGGTTAATTTTTCATGATTTTCAATGCCCATTTTCAGAAAGCCCATGATGACAAAAATTCCTCCTGCAATGACGTTTCGGACCTCACGGACGATTCCCTTCAGGATGCCCAGACATACAACTCGAGCACCTTCAAGGGCAAATGTGTCCAGTAAGTGTTTCCAGGACATTGCAGTTTAAAGCAAACTTTGATGCATTGATTCCCATTAGGCACCTTGACCTCAAGCACCTGAACGTGTGGAGCAAAAACGTGGAGGTGAATGACCAGATCCTGCATGCTGATGAGGAGAGCTTAGAAAATTGCTCACAGTTGTCTGCTCTCAACCTCGCCCACAACGCCTTTTCCTGCATTCCAGCGGCGCTGCCTTGTCTGGCTGTGAACCTGACTAGACTGAATCTCAGCTACAACAAGTAATAGAAATTCAAAATATCAAAAAATTTTATATTAAAAAAAAAATAATAATTGAAACATAAAAGATCTTGAAATTTTTAATGAAATTTAAAGAACTAATTATAATTTTCTAAATCTATTTTTTTTTTTAAACATTTGGAATATTTCATTTCTAACAAATTGCTAATTCCTTAGTTTGAGGAGTATGGGCCATGTGACCAGTTACCCTAGCACGATGAAACAGCTGGACCTGTCCCACAATCAGATCTGCTGCTGGCCAAGCTTGCCCCAAATTGAATCTATTGAGTGTGTGGATATGTCCCACCTGACTTGCTACTGTCCCTCGGAGAGTACCAAGCCCAAGAAAATGCCCATTCTCTCTGGTAGGGTTTCTATTTGTAATTTAAAAAGAAGTATTTTAAATTAATTATTATTATTTTCAGGTCGTCTTTCAAGTAGCAAATCGTTGAGGAGCATTATTTTGAACTCCGTTTGCTCTCACAGAAGGCATTTGAAGTTGGACGCCATGCGTACATTAATTTTGGCTGACAACTCTCTGGAAAGAATCCAGCTGTCCACAGATGACGATGGAGGCTCAATCGCCGAGGAGGATGAAACAGAAGATCTGGTAGTAATCAAGCTTTGTAATTAAAGAAAAATCTAATTTTCCTAACCAGGACCCTACAAGTCCCATTGTGAGTGGAAAATCCAAACTGATGTTCCCGAATCTGAGCATGCTGGACATCAGCAACAACAATCTGCATGAAATTCCTAGAAACATAAATGATCTCAGCAATCTTTCTGTTCTCAACATCAGTGGAAATCCTGGTCAGTTTTTTGAAAACCAAATTTAACAAACCGTTTTACCTCATTTTTAATTAGATATTAACGAGCTGCCGCCTCAAATGGGTCTGCTATCTCGTCTATGGAACTTGAACACAAATGGCTGCAGTCTGCAAGAGCCGCTCAAGTCAATGATCGAGTCAAAAAAATACAAGACCATGGATGTGATTGGCTACTTGAAGTCTGTCCTGGAGGATGCCAAACCTTATGCCAGAATCAAATTGATGATTGTTGGTGTTCAGGGTATCGGAAAAACATCCCTTCTTGAGCAATTGCGCATGGAGGGCTCGGGCTCGTACAAGAAAAAGCCGGTCGAGGTTTGTCTAAATAAATGTAATTACTTGGCAATAGTTGAAAATAAATTTTAGCACTGGGCTAAGCGAATGGGAAATAAGAACATCAACGTCAAGACCTCTCGGGGGACAAACATGTCAACTGTCGGCGTTGATATCGGAGATTGGTGCTATGAAAAGAGAGGCAGGTCATCTAACTCCTTTGGTCCTGTGGTCTTCAGGTTAGAAAGAAAATTTAATTTTGAATAAGATAAATTAATTTGACCTCTTCAGGACGTGGGACTTTGGAGGTCAAAAGGAGTACTACGCCACACACCAGTACTTCTTATCCAAACGAAGTCTTTACTTGGTTGTCTGGCGCATTCCCGATGGACCCCGCGGTATTGCTGAAATCTTGCAGTGGTTGGTCAACATTCAGGTAAACAATATTTATATCCAAGTGAAAGGATGTTCCACTAATTAATTAAAATCAACAGGCCCGAGCTCCTAACTCGCCTGTGCTGATTGTAGGGACTCATTATGATATGGCCAAAGACTTGCCCTGCACTGAAGATCTCCAGCAACTAATTAGAGAAAAGTAAATTTATTTTGAATGCCAAGTTTAATTTTGAATTTTAAATTATATAAAATATCAGTTAAAATCATTTATGAATCATTGTTAAAATTTTTTGTCTTTATCTTTAAACAGGTTCATCAACATTGTTGATGCCGAAAAGTGTGGTTTGCCCCGTGTCTTGGACACAATTGAGATTAGCTGCAAGACTCGCCACAATGTGAAACACCTTTGCAACCTGATCTACGACACAGTGTACAGTCTGCGTCCCCCTGGCAGCAAAGAGTTGCTCCTAGAGCAAAGAGTCCCTGCCAGCTACCTGGCTCTCGAGGACGTCATCAGTGCAATTGTAGCTGAGCGACGGGCCTTGGGTGCAGACCCAGTAATGTTGGCTGATGAGTACCGCGCAAAAGTAGCACATGAACTGCAGACTCGCTACCACAGGAGCTTCAGAGATGTTGCCGAACTCAACCAGGCCACCGCTTTCCTTCATGAAAATGGTTCGTTTTATCAAACTAATCTCTTATTTATTATGTTGGATTATCAAAATTAAATTAAGATACAAAAATGGCTTGCAGTGATTTTAAACCTTTTTTAAATAAATTTTAGGGGTTCTTTTGCATTACGATGATGCAACCCTGAAAGACCTGTACTTCCTGGACCCCCAATGGCTCTGTGATATGCTGGCACATGTGGTGACCATAAGAGAAATCAATCCATTCGCAAGAACTGGTGTGATGAAACTGGATGATCTCAAGCACGTTTTCAAATCTTCTTCGATCGGTCCCGTCGACAAAAGGGGCTACATCGTCAATCTGTTGAATAAGTTCGAGGTTGCTCTAACTTGGGACAGCAGGACGCTGCTCATTCCTTCTCTCTTGCTCTCCGAAGAGCAGATGCGAGGTCCCCATCCTCCAGAAGTCAGAGTCAAGGTTTGTGTTTTTTAATTTAAAATTTACTATTAGTTTATTCATTTTTATCTAGATTCCTGTGAGGTCAAGAGGGTGGGCTGTCAGGACAAAGAAAGCGCCAATTTCACATGCAACTACCCTTGTAGGCAACTCTTCCTTTTACACTCCATTAACCGAAGGCTTCAAGCTTCAGAAACCAAATACAAGTCAAATTAGTGGTGTGTATTTTTATGAGTGATTTAATTTTTGATACAAACTTTTGCTCATTAATTAGGCCCCAAAAGGGGAGAGGACTTGCTGAGTCCTGAGCAGCCGGCGGGAACTTTGAGGTGTGAGGTGACGACCAAGTCGGACCCTGAAGCCTCCATTCGAAGGCTGTTGCTAATGAGTTACTTCCCGAGTGGATTCTGGTCCAGACTGATGACCAGAATCCTTGCTGATGACGCCATTGTGGATATTGTTCGTTCCTACTTTCTCACCCCCAAAGAGGTAAACTTTTGCATTTTTATTTTTTAATAAAAATTTCAATTTCTGTTAATTAAAGGTCATCAATGATGCTAGTCTGGCTCCCATATTGGAGCACCGTGCTGACTGGGTGTTGTGGCAAACAGGGATGGAACTGCGGTACTTTGATACCACCCTCTTCAGAATGAAGGAAGTTTTGCCCACAATGCAGAACTCGCCTGTCGACTATCGCCAAATGAGGTAGATTTTTTTAATTCATATCTGGCAGCTGAATTTTAAATTATCTTTTTCTCAGATTTAAATTGAGACAAGAGGGTACCTGGACTGATGTCGATTTCTCTAATTCCTCAATTTTGGAGCTTTACTTCCCTGTGGAGAAACTTATTTTGAAGCGCGCTATTTCTGATGATGTAGGAAATTGGTGTTCTGATAATGATTACCAGACAATTGTTCTCGATCCAAGCACGGAGTGCGTCACTAAATTGTTGGCTTTGGCTGTGGACCATATTGATATTCTGCTGGAGGATTGGTACCCAACTCTAGGTCAGTTTATAAATAAAATTCAAAAATTCAGTTACATAAATTCAAAATAATAACAGGCACTCGATTTGTACACACTTCCGAGGGCCGCTTTTTGGTCACAAGGCTAGTGCCCTGCCCTAAATGTGTGGCCAGCTTTATTGAGTGTGATGGCGCGTGTGGGTTCAGGCCAGACCCATGGCTCGGTCTCGAAAGAAATAACTATCCGTTTGACGGAAAGAGGCCTTACGAGGAAATGCACCAAGAGGAAAGAGTTCGAAAGTCGCAGGAGAGCTACACGTCCTGCGACAGTGGCGTCGAACCTGACAGCTCAGGCTCAAGGTACTGTTCATGAAGTGGAATAAAAACTCCACTAATTCCACATTGCAGTCGGACAACTTCATTTGAGGGGCACCCTGCCTTTGCCGGATTGGACAGATTGTCCAATAAATCTGAGTCGGATCCTGTTTACTACAGTTGGCTAGTTGAAGAATGCATTCTTGCAGCCTATGATAAAAAGTCAGTCGACTGCCCAACTCACGGAGACATCGGCCTGCCCTCAATTGCTCCAGACACAGTAATTACATAATTTTAAGTAATTTTTTTTAAATAAAATTTTGGAATTTTTCAATAGATGTTCTTGGATTTGGGCGAAAGACATCTTATTCGGCCAGACAACATCAAGAGAGGAAAGTTGCTGGGCAGAGGTGCCTTTGGATTCGTCTTCCGTGGAAACTGCAAGATGAGAGGATCTTCTCAGTATGCGGACGTGGCCATGAAAATGCTGCAGCCTGTCCAGCCTGGTAGCAATGCCAGACCATCTGCCTTGATAGCTTTTAAGGTAAGATAATTTTTTTTTAATTATCCGAAAACTTTACATTGGAAAACTCTAGTTAAAATAAAAAATTTAAATACTAAAATATTTGGTTAATAGAAAACTTTCAAGATTATATTTTTGTTGTTCTTTCTGTAAAATTTCCAATTTTATTTCCTGATAGGCCGCACAAGGCAAATGGGAGCGGGACCCACTTCAGTACGCCTGCAAAGCTTATTGCACCGCTCGGCAGGAGCTGAATATCCTCCTCAGTCTGCGCCACCCATACATTGTGCCCCTTGTTGGCATCTGCACACATCCCCTCGCCTTGGTGCTCGATCTCGCCCCTCAGGGCGCTCTCGACATGACCCTGCGCCACTATCGGAGGTCTGGCGCCAAATTAGGACCCTACGTCCTTCAAGCAGTCATCTTACAGGTTGGACGATTTATTGAAAAGTGCTATTTTTTTTTCTTATGTGTAAATTTTATGTCACATCAGGTGGCCAAAGCCATTGAATATTTGCACCAGCAACATATCATCTATAGAGATTTAAAGTCGGAAAATGTGTTGGTTTGGGAAATGCCACCACCCTTCACCACTGATCCTCTTGCCAGAGTTCATGTTAAGCTTGCTGATTATGGTACATTTGAAATTTTTTTACAAAAAATTACACACTATTTATTTTTAATTAATATCAGGCATCAGTCGTTTGACCCTACCTTCTGGAACAAAAGGTTTTGGAGGCACCGAGGGTTTCATGGCCCCAGAAATTATGCGCTACAATGGTGAGGAGGAGTACACGGAAAAAGTGGATTGCTTTTCCTTTGGCATGTTCATTTACGAGCTGCTGACACTGCACCAACCCTTCGAAGGTCAGGAGTCGGTCAAAGAATGCATCCTTGAAGGAGGAAGACCGTCTCTTTCCTATAGGGTTAGTTCCTGAATTTCCTTTTTGCAACATTAATATAATTATCATTTATAATCAGGAAACACTCTATCCGTGTTACATTCTGGACCTGATGGTGCTCTGCTGGTCCCAACAACCGAGAGATCGGCCCTCTGCGAGCCACATTGTCTCCATAGCGTCTGCGCCAGAGTTCACTCACCTCTCAGACGTCATTGCGCTCAATCATTCTGCACAAGTGTCTGCCACGACAGCTGTACCGGTCTGTGATGCTGGAGGTGTGTAAATTTTTCCAAGAAATTTATTTTCATAAAAAAAACATATCAAGATCCAAATCAAAATTAAAGTTTAGAGATACATGAATTTAGTTAAACCAAGCCCGATTAATTTTTTCCAATTTTCTCCTCTCAAAATTCTTCAATTCAGTGAGAACTTTCCAAGGTATTGTTTATTGAAAGTTTAAAAGGAGCATCAAATTCACACTCTCTAAGGTGGACTGTTACAATTTTCAGACGAGTCGTCAGCTGAGCTTTGGTTGGGCTGCATCAACAATCGTGCAGATCTTTTACTAGCAACTAACGGCCGAGGTTGGGGCAACTACTGCAGCCTTTCCCTGCCTGGCAACCCAACAGCCGCCTGCCAAGTGGGCTCCAGCGTCTGGATGGGTGACCACAGAGGCTTCATCCATGCCTATTTGTAATAAAAAAGAAACTAAAGTCACAAAGAAGTCTTGAACTTAAATCTAAATTTCCAACAGGGCGTCCGACTGCACGTTGCTGTTCAGCTATAACATGGAGCCAGACGCGCCCACCCCTTGTCCGGTGGTGTCCATGCTATGGATGCCGGAATTGCAGCGAGTGGCCGTGGGCATGGCCAATGGCCGACTCTTCATGGTGCGCAGCGACGTGCTCCCCTCGGCGCCTAGTATGGGCGAGGGCAGCTTTGTCATGACTGAATTGGGGAATAGCACTGTTCTCCACACAATCACTGCCATTTACAAAAATAATGGAAGGTTAGTTAAGAAATTTTAATTGACTAATAAACTTAATTTAATTTTTCAATATAAATTCTCGGTAATCAAATCTAATTCTAGGAAATTACGTAAATAAAAAAGAATTTTCCAGTTAAAAATCAAACTTTTTTCAAAAAATGAGATTGTTTTTTGCTCTCAAAATATTAATTTTATTTTCGACTCACCATCAAATTATTTCTTCAACAGAACGTGTGAATTGTGGTGTGGCGAGTCCCGTGGCAGCATCAGCATTTTTACCATCAAGGACAACGTGGTGTCCTCCCAAGAGGTTGTTAATCACTACGAGCCAGTCATAGAGACGCTCGAAGTGTTGCATTTGATTTCTTCCCACTGCCCCAACTACTCCGGACAGGAGGCGTCCGTCTGGTCTTACGTCTATCCTGGTTAGATTCAGAACTGGACAATTGTTAATCGGAATTTTAAAAAAAACTTTTAACTTTGCAGGCTGTGTTGTTTACCACTGGGAACCATCGTCTCGCACAATTCTCCAAAAACTGGACTGCTCAAAACTAGTGCCGTGCTCAGAGAGTTTGAAGTCGATCAGTATTGAGGAGCACCTCAGTCCAGGCCGTTGTCAGGTAAATGTTAGAAGAGAAACAAAACTTATTTTTCTTTAATAAAATTCAATAATTAAATCCTAAAATTGTTTTTAATATTTTTTTATTAAATTTAATTTTTCTAGGTCACATGTATGGCTGTGCTGAATGACGAACTGTACGTTGGAACGACCTGGGGTTGCATCATAGTGGTGGAGAAAAATTCCATGCGGCCAATAACCATTTTCAGGCCGTACGAAGAGGATGTACGCGCCATTGTGGCACTGACACCTTCAGAAGCCCCTGAAAACAGCTCTGAGAGTCCTCCAGCGCCCATGATGGCCACTTTAGGTCGAGGGTATCGTGACCTAATGTCCAGGTATCTGGACTCGTCTGTATTGACGCCCGAAGCAGCCAATTCAACAGCAATGGTGGCGCTTCTGTGGAGGGCCGAGAATTGGTCTCCTACTTAATCGGCGGAAAAAAATTAATCAGAATTCGGAATAGAAACCAAAGAGAAAAACATTTCTGTAGACATTTTTGAGGAGAAAGATTCTCCTTTTTATTCCAACTGAGTTTAACGTTTTAACGAGAGATTGATAATTTAGGTGACAAACATGCAAAACCAAGTCACAAAATTAACAAACATTCCTCACTTAAAAGTCCTCTTATTTATTTGTGATAACTTTGATTTTATTTGTAAGTATTTTAGCAAGTGATTGTTACTCATCGATATTAATTAACTGATATTTGCTGCTCTCAGAATAAATAAACAAAAACAGTATTTTAAAAATTACATCAAACTTCTTTTCATCTGGAAATACCTCTTTAATTTTTATATATAATTTTCATGGTTAAAAAAATTTGGTGTAGCTAAATTCATCACCGTGGTGTTAAAAAATTTTAATTAAAGAGAATACAATTATTTTGAAATTTAAGCTCAGTAAATTTCTTTCCATGTAGCGTTGGATTTATTGGGATGCTTCATATCTTTTTGAAAAGATGACGCAGTGCGATCGCCGACAAGTCAAAAATAATGAGATGTAAAACATCGCTGTTTCTCGGAATCAATTTGCATTCATTAAAAAACACGCAGCATCGTTTCGATGAGAAACGCACGACGGACGGCTTCTCTCTTTTCCTCTCCAAAGCAAGAATGTGATGCGTGTATTGTTTCTCGTTTTTCAAATCGCGCGCAGGGTAAGCAGCTCATTATTTCTCACAACGCAGAAAGAGACAAGCGAGAATATAACCGAGAACACACTGAAAAAAAGTAAGAAGGATGCCTTCAACTAATGATGTGACACGGAAATTTCATTCCTGTCCCAGGTAAATGTGTACAAAAATAATTAATTGCATATAAAACTCAAGTTTTTGTTTATTTTTACATATTCCACCAGTTTAGTTGTATAAATGGAGATAAATATTAAATTGTTTAAAAAATAAATTGATTTCCACTCTAAAAAAAATGAAAAAAAATCATGTTTTTTTTAAAAATAAAATACACAAAAAGCTTTTATTAAATTAATAAAATTTACTTTCATGAATCACATAGAGATTGAGTCTTTGTGAATATTCGTTTCTTTGAAATTTTGCCCCCTTTGTGTTTCCTTTCCTTTTAATTTTTTGCGGTACATGTGTTGCGCAATTAAAATTTCATGCGCTCACGCAGGGTGATTGAGAATGGCAGGCGAGGCGCGAGAGAGTAGTGCAGTGGCCGCCGCCTTTGTTTTAGCAGGGCCACTTGAACACGTCTGCAGGCAGCTTCATATAACATTTGTGCCATGTGGGGTTGCGGCTGCTGGTTTTCCTTCCCCATTTAGGTGTGCAGTGTGTATACCAAGTTTTCCGTGGAGACACAAAATAAAAGAAGTAGTTTCGCCCCCATTGTGGCCGTAATTACGGCGTCACCGAGCAGTTTTGTTTCCCCGGCTCGAAAAACATTATGAAACGGGCTGGCAGAAAAAAAATATATAATAAAATGAGATGCTGGCTGGCTGGACCCCCATAGTTTCACAGCAGTGTGCATTATTTTCTATATGTGTGCCGTCGCATACATTCTCTGTTGGTCCTCTACGCTCTGCGCGAGCTAGCAAGAGCAGCGAGTGCATTGTTTGTGCTCAATTTACTCCTTTTTTTCAGAACGGATGCGAGGGCACGTTTTAATTGTCGTCCCGCCTGAGAATAAGAAGAATAAGAGCGGCGTGTAGAACACCAAATTTTGCGGCGTCAAAGCTAAGAGAATCGTTTGATTTGAGAAAAAGAAAAGGATGAAGATTTACTTAAATTTTAAGGATTATAAATTTTCAATGCTAGAAAATTTACACAAAAAATTGTTACACATGTGAATATTATTTAAAGATTGAAGTTTAAAACTTAAATTAAAAATTGCACAAAATTTTGTAAGGTTTTTTACATATTGTTTGTAATATTGTATTTTTTATTGTTTTAATCTTTAAATATTGGTCTTGAAACTTCAAAAGCATAATTATATTTTTTAAGGAGCATAAAAATTACTTTTGTATATCGAAGTACATTTTCATCTTTTAAAAATCAGTTCCCTCGTCTTTGAGAGAGAAAATGAAAATGTTACATCTTTATTATTGTATTATTATAAATTTTAATTACTTTAGAACTTTATAATTTATGCAAAAATATCACTAATAAAAAAGAGTCTTTTGAAGGTTTTATTTGCCTAAAACGACCTAAACGGGACTTGAGACACAAATTTGAGTGAAGAACACTCGGGGTGACTTTTATTGAAGTGAAGAAAAACAAGCTTTCCTCCTGCTTGAAAAATGTTTTTTTTTTCAACAAAAAAATCAGCAAAATTGAATAGCAATAATTTTTTAGCAAGCAGAGCTTTTAATGCTTATGAAATAAGATGGCATGCGAAGTTTACTTTAAGATTTGATTTTTGTTATAGGAAATATATAGTTTTTCAATTTTGGTAACTCTTTGGTCTTTTTTATGGCTCATGAAAGTCATGAAATAGGGTCGCAGTTTGTTTATGTTGAATTGAAAATCAAAAAACAATATCAACAATAAGGACAAAATCCGCTTTTTCACTTCTTTGGGACTTAAAGTTCATGTTGTGTTTTTTTCTTCTTTTTTTACTGTCAATTACATTTTTTTCCGGCTAAACTTTACTTCATTGTAATTTAGTTTTTGTGCAGATGGGTTAAAATTTTTATAGTCTGCTGCTCAATTACTTTTGAAGAGACATTTTTTCATAGCTTTTGCTCGAGCTTCTTCTCTCTTATTTATTCGATTTCAATTTTTAGACACATTATTAATTGGCCCAATGCATATTACCGTACAAAGCAGAGGCGGAAGTCATGTGCGCAAGGTGTTGCTTCGGAAACGAGACTAATTTCGCCCCGCGCAAATAATAAAAAATTGCAACTCTTGAACAAGAGAGGAAGTCGCGGTGGAAAAAAAATTAAAAACAAAATGGGTAATCGCGAGACGCGCGGCGCAAAACTGCTGCTCGCACTCGGAAGTAAATTTCAATTCATTAGCGCAGCTGCCGCTCACTCTCGTCGCGCAATGAGAGAGTAAAAATAATGGGCAGCTGATTATTGTCGCGCAGCACGACCAGAATTAAATAGGGGCTTGATAGGTTTTGCGTGAATAGTCGCACTTTTGCCTCGCTTTTTGTTCCCGCGAGAGTGATTTCGAGAGGCTCTCTTTGTCTCGCCAGCTCCTTTTGTTTTTGCCAACGGACTCTTCATTCACCATACATCAGACTCCATACAATATGCCCTGCGATGTAATTTTTTTTTCTATACACGTATCACATGTATATTGGCACAACCGAGGTTAGGTTGACTCAAAATACAGCAGAAATCCCAGGAAAAAATTCTTTGGAAAAATCTAACAGATTTTTACACTCCAAACAAGCTCAAGTTTTTGCGGAAAAAAGGAATTAACAATAAGATGCTAATTTTTCTCTACATTAGCATTTGTTTGCAGATGTCAATTGCAAGATATTAAAAGAAAAGTTGAATTCATTGGCATTATTATTTATTAGTGAGAATTTAATTTTCTTGGTTAATTTTTTTTTTGTTTTTAAATTGATGGGACCACAATTTATAAAAATTTTACCAATTCATCAAGTTTTGCGAAATAATATCAATAGGTGGGTCGACATTTTAATTTGAATTTTTATTTTTTTATTAATTATTATTCTGATCTTGGTTTAGCAAAAACTATAATTTTTCATTCATATCACCTTCTTTTTCTTCTAAATCAAAATTTACATTGATATCTTACGGGGAAAAGTTCATTGAGTTTATTTTCAGTATAAATAGTGGATAGCGAAAGTTCTTTGTTTATAATTTTCTTTTAAGAAATTACTAAAAATTGGTTTGATTCTGAATAATTGTTTTAAGGAATTTCAGGAGGAAAATATGATAAAATCACGAAAACTGCAGTGACATTAAGTTTTTCTTTTAAATTTTGATCACATGAATTTCAAATAAAAAACAATGAAGGGGTTTTGATTCCTCATTCTTAAATTATACAATATAATTATAATAATAAAGTTGAGAACAATATTAAAAAGATTTTGCAAGATTTTGTTCTTCTTCAATGTGCATAAGTTAGAAAATTTATGTCCGCATTCGTCGCATGTTGTTTGAATATTTCTCTCTCTCTTGAGTTCTGCGCCCGCGATTAAATCTCTGGAATAATAATATAAAAGGCAACGAACGGCGGTATAGTGCGTCGAATGCATAAATTCATGAATAAATTGTCGAGCGACAATTAAAGTGCATGCCTCCGCTTTTCTGCCCACGACAAGGAACGCCGATCCCAGATTGGACTGAGAGAATGAAAAAAAAAAAAGATGCATTTAAATAAATAATACAAAATAATAATAATGCGCGCCATTTGTGCCCAAGATAAACTTTAAAGGAAATTTGACCGACTCTCTTTGAAAAGATATGATTTTTTTGTTCAAAAGAAAAGGGAATATATAATTAAAAAAAAACTAGGTCTGTATTAATTTGTAATTAAACATTTTATTTAATTATTTCTTAATTGATTATTTTTACAATTAAATTTATTGTTTCTTCAGTCTGCGTCTAATTGGCGGTCTGATTTATTTGCTCCACATCAGACACAATGAGCATACACAATTATTTTTTTTTTATTTTTCCTTCGAGAAGTGCGTTTTGGAGTCGAAACGCGGCAGTCAATTTTCCGCGAACTGCTTGTGCGGCGGAGAACAACTGCATCCTGTTCTCTCCGGCGCAAAACAAAAAGTGCAGTGGATGCTAATGGAATTTTCACATCTTGTTACTTTATGTTGCTCCGCAGGCAGGCATACCCGTTGTTTTCTTGTCCGTAAAGGGGCATTATCGCGATTGAACTCATCGTCCAGCAGGGAACTGCGACAATAACTCTCCTTATGACAAATCAATTTAAAAATAACGTCAAAATTTTATCCATTAACATAATTTTGAATGAAGAGGCAGATGAAATAAGATAAAAATTCAATTAAAAAGGAAATAAGTAATTAAAATTCAAATAAATAAATACAGCTTTTGAGTTGATATTGCACAAATTGATTCCCTTTATTTCTATTGAATTTTTTAGACTTTGCAGATTTATTTTATAATAAAAGATCCATGCTTTTGATAAATTTTCTTTTAATTTTCAAGTGTTTTTAAATTTTTATGTCTGAAAAAAGTAAAAAATAAATCGAATAGAAAAATTGCCTTTGTGATAGATAAATAAACACAATCTTTAACTTATTTCTTATATTTTCTTATCTAATTATAGATTTAAATAATTTAAT